AAGAACGGAGGGTGAGGGGGGGGGGGGGGGGGGGGGGGGGAACTGAAACCTAGAGAGCCATATGTGATAAGAACAAAGACATAAGAGAAAGCAAAGAACTTATTCTGAAAAGGCTCAGCAACTGAAAACACAAGCCATGTTAAATGTAACCAAAAATAAATAAGGATCCACAGCCACTACCAGAGACAATTCAAACAGGTGCAACAATTCATCTTGCAGCAAATACAATTAGCAAAAAGCTGAATGTATCTTTCAGGCTAGAATAATTCAAAATTGTGAAGAGTAGCTGACAAGATGGCTGATTTATAATTGTCCCTTTTCAATCCCCAGTAAAGGGTAAGCAAGCATTACCAAAACTGGCATTTAAATGCAGTTACAAAATAGTTAACATTTCTTTGTATTATGCTTTACTGTCACTCAAATACACCAGGCCTACATTTATTACAATGGTCTGCATTTTTAAAATGCTTGTCATGTATTTTAAACAATCAAGCATTTGTTTTCCTGTTCTAGAATTTCAATTGTTTGAACTTCCGTCCAGCATGTTTAAATGTTTTTACCCTCACAGCTGCTCTGAATACAGGACAACCAACATGATGCAAAAGCACCGGATTTCAATAAATGTTAGCTGTCCAGACAATATAGTGCAAAGTAACAACCTGTTTCTGGAATTACTTTTAATATTTAACTCAAAAGCTGTAAGACAGGTGAATATAAAGCGGTTTCAGTTTAAAGCTGTCGATACAGTATGATAGATTTGATGGGCACAAATTAATCGAGCTAAATTACAAAATGGGGTTGGGGGGGGGGATGTCTAAGGAAGCAAGTGCAGGGTCTAATATGGAGCATTGAAATTTTAAATTGGCCATGACCCAAGATCTATGAAACCATGTTGTTCTTACATATAGAATATTTTCAACAAAATAGCAATGTACTGTGACTATAGCAGTAGTTTGCATTTTAAGAAATGAAGCGAGTGGGGCTTTAAGCCAAAACACAAAGAGACTATGCACTTACTTCACAACACAAATTGGGGATGGGGGGTTGGAAACCTTGGTGCACACACACAAACTTAGTTCACAATAGAAAGCTCTGGTCCTGGAGTGCCACTGTATCTTTAGATTTTCAATATATTGCAGTTTAAGGGCTGGTGGATTAAACTGACCACATTAGGACAAAACATTTGTTGACTCCTGTGGCCATCCTGTGACTCCCGAGTCAGTTGCCAATTGAGATTGCACAAAAACCCACAATATTTACAATGGTCCAGGAACAGGCTTGTGTGTCCCTTAAAACACCCAGGATTCGATTCGGTTGCATTACAGTGTTTGATATCCAACATAGGTCCTTCGTCGACCAATCACGTATGCAATCACGACAATGAAAATCAAACCAGCCAGAGCGGCACCAACAATGATTGGGATTAAGAGGCTGGTGTCATCCATTGAACATTCATGGGCTGCAGACAAAGAGAACATGAATGAAGGTAAGATGAAGCTGCTATCTTCTCATCAACACCACTGCAGATATTCTCAAAGACATAAAATCACAGAAACTTAATCTGGTAAAACCGGGCCATTTCTATAAGCCTTTACAGAATTATGAAGCTGTTAACATTAGTTAATAAAAAGACAACAGATTATCAGTTTATAGTATTTCAGATCCATTCAGTAATATTAGCATATTGCTTTGTTGAAATTAACAATTTAAATAATGCTATAAAAAAAAGTATTTATTGTTATGTTAACATTAGATGACGACTTTAGTTAACAAATGTATATTTATTATGAAGTGTTGCCAAAAATATAAATATTCAAACATCATGTTCTAGCCTCGCATTAAGACTACAATAGTAATTTGAACTCAGAGCTGTCAGGATCAGTTTGGCAGGAAATTTTAGACTTTGGTCATTCAACCTTGTGTGTTTGTCAAATTCTTTTTTGCATATAGGCCTACATCTTTGTACATACTTTCAATGATCTTGGTGCAGCAAGTCACATATGATATATGACCACAGGAAACCATGGGCTTGTCAGATTTAGTTGTGCATGTGAGCTAGGGGTGGGCGATATGACAAATCTTGTATCATGATACGAGTAATTTTATATCATGATCACGATAAGTTATTTTAATAAGGTTATGATATTAAAATCTTTGATACCATAGAATTTTCATAATTCTTGTCACCAATGTCGAAATCAAACTAATACAAGAAAATACGAACCAAAAAAAAAAAAAAAAAAAAAAAAAAAACAAACCCCAAACACCACGGAAACAAAAAAAAAAAAAAAAAAAAAAAAAAAAAAAAAAAAAAAAACCAACCCTCAAGCTCACAGGAGATAAATAAACAAGTCGGTGATGAAATAACAAGAAACTAATTACAAGCAATAGGACAAATAAACTACATTGTGTAAACTAATTAGTCTTCACTGTGTAAGTTATTTATGCCTATATATAGATATATTTATTAGCATTATCATCATTTATTTGTTCTTATTCTAGCTACAAATGTGATTTAGTCAAGAGCAATGAGAGATTTTCTCACTGTTGTTTGATTAACATGAATGGCAGACGGAACAAATATTGGACAGCTTCCCCTTCAAGACCGAAGTCTTGATCCAATATACTGTTACACATGTGAGTTCTCTTGCAACCGTTTACATTCCCTTAATGACCGTTTATGAGGATACTTGCACAGCCGGGCATTTAGACGCATAAGTGTTTATGGAATCGTTCAAAGCCAATAAAGTGGCAAAAATGCTCACGAGCTCTATTAGCAGCTGATGCGCGGCTTACGCACTCCTGAGGGTGTACTCACTAGGCGTTTTGAACCGTGCCAGAGCGCATTTGACCCCCCCAAAGGCCGGTTCGTTTGACTAGTGCGAGCGCTCCGTGCCGGCCCTGGCCCGGTTGGAAGAGGTGGGCCAGGGCACGGTTAGGTTGGGTTCAGTACGCATGCAGTGCAAGCATCAACTGCGCCGGAGCTCGGAACAGATATTATTTTGTGCACTACTGCCATCATTACGACCGCAAACATTCTGTTACTACACTTGAATTAATTTCATTTAATCAAGTACATTTAGGTTTATAATGGCTCTGGTTCTTACCTCATTGATGAACAGGAAATATAGTTTGCGAGTAAAGCTGCAAATTATTTCATTAACATCAGCCGTCTCCATAATTTTCTGATACATACAAGTGAAAATCAATGCACGGCATAAATTACAAATTAATTATTCAGCAGAATATTAGCGAAAGTAGTTTTCTCCATTATCTCATACATGACACAAGCGTGCTCCGGCCTGGAATGTTTAGTGCAAGTGCAGGTCAGCGGGGGAGTGGGGAGGGGATAATCGCGCACTGGCTCGGTTCAAGGCAACCGTGCCTAGTGGGAGTACACCACACAGAAACAGCGTGCACATATAGCCGTTTGTGTTTCAACGGCCTAAAATTATTATTTGTTGTATTAAACTGCAGTGCCTAAAAACGTGTGCAAACGAAGTTTTCGTGACCATGCGCACAGCAACGTACACGAGCGCGCATGCTGTTATTCATGTTTCTGCCTGCATCCCTGTGTAATGCATGTAAAACTGCCGTCATTCAAATGAAAGTATTGCCGTAAACAATGTTTTGCGGCACCACAAAATAAATGATAGAGCATAATATGAAACGATAGACTTTTAATTTCGTCCATCCAATAGATATCGTCATATCGCCCAGCCCTAATGTGAGCAGTGCCCAAGTTTCTAAATTAATACTAAAGTGCTGGAAAGCAAAGTGGCTTTTCACACCACTCTGAATAGCAATGCTTCTTGAGCTGTAGAGAGTAGAAAAGTAGCTGATAAAATGACAGAACTAAAGGACAGAGTCCAGTTATGATTTATCCATATGCTGTATAATTACCTCTGATGAGAATTCTCAGCTTTATTGTTAAGCATCACAAACGAATACATACCCGTGTTAAACTTGTTGTTCTGGACTGCAAAGGGCTGCACTTGCAGCTCGAACGTGTTGAGGGTAAGCTTGTCAGTGATGTTGTAACTCTGCTCTTTTCTGCACATGTAGGAGCTTCCGACAGATGCCTCCCACAGAGACAGATTATTATTGGAGGCATTGAAAACGTTTCCTGTTGAGGTAACACAAATCAGAGGACAGAATATGATTACATGACAAGAGATGACATTAGGGATGCACAATATATTGGTACCACACTGGTTATGGCTGATATGATTTTTAGTTTCTTTTTTTTTTTAAATCAGTCAATATTAGATCACACTTTGTTAATCTAAAAAAAAAAAAAATAAAAAAAATAATTTAATACTGTTAAATGCAATCTTTAGCAAAACTCAAAATGAGTATCTTTTTCATAGTAATTGTGATGGCTAAATTCACTTAGTATAGAATTTTAATGTTAGCTTATTGTCTTTAGATGAGAATAAAAAGATCATGCATTTAATATGCCTTACCATTTTCAAGATTAACAGAGAGCGTCAAAGCATGTAGATTGAACTTCTGTGAAACCTGTTTAAAAAAAAAAAAATTATAATAATAATTTCATGAGAAAATGCGATTACTTTATGAACTGGCAGTTTTGCATGAATATTTGGTACAATTTTTTTGCTACAAAAACAGAATTTGAGAAAAACGAACAAGCATGATGGTCCAATTCTAACACTATCGACCTTAATCAAGTTAGACGCAATATTGAATTCAACACATTTGAAAACAAGGCTGTGAGGAATAGACTTAGTCTTTACAATGACATGCACTTTATAAAAGTAGTAATTTTTTTTTTTAAAAATCATAATTTCTGATGATGATGATGATGTTGTTTGTCTACATGTCAGCTGAACAATCGGTATGTTGTTCAGCTACAATACAATCCACTGAACGCACCATACTTCTATCCATCACAGCCTTGTTTTCATTCCTGTCAAAAATTTAATGGCACTACCTTGACTAAGGTCCACTCCTAAAACTAACCCCAAGTTGGTCATAAGCAGATCATATGAAAGAAACTGTACACACACATACATATATATGTATATATATAAATAAAAAAAACACACACAACATTTAAGAGCTGCCAACAGTTGGCCAAAAACCCAACCAAGAACATCTACCACCCCCTTTGCCTCAGTGGACTTTAGTCGCCAGTATATTTGACACTCTTCTTTAAAGACTTACATTTGTGAAGACAAAATGAACTGTGATTTCTTCTGACTTCAGCAGAAGGGAAGAGTCATTGCCACCACTTCCACAGGTTCCACTCACTTCAGTTACATTAGCACTTGGGTCAAAATTAAGAGTCTGAAAGCTGGAATTCTAAATAAGAACATGACAAAAGACTTGCAGTGGAGTAATAGCTTTTCACAACAAATTTCCATTCTTGTGTTCCTCTGCACAGACATTTTGTACCTACCTCACTCATTTTGAAACTAAACTGAAGGCCCATCTTTGCCAAAAGACAGACAGTGACATTATCTGACTTGACGCTGTAGTTTCCAACAGTTGGGTTGGGGACAGGAGGAGTGGTCGGAGGAGGAGTTGGAGCTGTTGTAGCATTAGAGTGCACGGTAGTTGGCGCTTCTGTGGTGGAATTCGTTGTGTTGTGATGCATGGTAGTTGGCGCTTCTGTGGTGGAATTCGTTGTGTTGTGATGCATGGTAGTTGGTGCTTCGGTGGTGGAATTCGTTGTGGTGAGATGCATGGTAGTTGGCGCTTCTGTGGTGGAATTCGTTGTGGTGAAATGCATGGTAGTTGGAGGTTCAGTAGTAGATTTAGTTGTGGTGAGATGAGGGATAGTTGTAGGTTCTGTAATAGATTTAGTGGTGGTGTGATGCGTGGTTGGACCTGTAGTCACAGCAGTAGAAGTGGCAGCTGTAGATTGTTTGGAGGTGGTTGGAGAAGAACTGCCGGAGAGGATTTTGCTGGAACTGAACTCCTGTGTTGCAGGTAATGACGATGTCACCAGATCTTCAGCATGCACAATACCTGCACAGGGTGGAAGCACAATGTTATTTCCTCATCCTTCACATTATCGTGGGGTTTCCCATGTGACACGGAGAATAAACAAGCCTGCTTTTTCAACCTTCCAAAATCAGATTTAGCTAAATGCTTATAATACAAACGCTAAATCACTAAACACTTAAAAACATAAGAACAGGTACTTGGTTCAGCATTATATCAAAAGTGAAAGACTACTTGGGCACACCACAGCCTTTCAACTACCTCTATGCGTAAGGAAATAAAAACAGCAATCCAAGCACATTCCAGTACCTTCCTTCCTGACTGACTGGCGGTGAACTAACATTGTCCAAGAGCAAACTTATTTAAGGGCTGGAATACAGCACACATTTTTTTGTTCAAAACCAGATTTTCAGGCATTAATGCTAGTTGCCAGAAGTCAAAGCCAATCCACAAACTTTGGGCATTCAGTTAATAGATTTCACAGAAAATCACATACTGTGTGATGGGCACAGACTTTTTAGATTCATACTATGATTCCATCCAGTTGGAGGATATTAAACAGGTTTAATATTTTGAACCCATTTTAGAACATTGTTTTCATTTATCATGCATCTCAAGGTTCAAGTTTCTGCTTGAGTGTGTGGCTTTAAAATGACTTAAAAATAGGGCTGGGCGATATAGCTACAAAAATATATCAACGATATGTTTCATATCATTCGGTATCGATAATTGACTTTTATAACCTTTTTTTTTTTTAAAACAGAGCAATACATTTTTTTTTTAATTTAACCACCATTTTTAATTTGCCCACTTTATTAAGACAAACACCACACATATACATATATATTTTAAGTCAAACAAATTTAAACATATCTCCTTTATGTTTTATATGCAGATTAATTAAGTCTTAAGGAAACTTTTGACTTGTTTCCCGAGGCCACAGGAGGGCGCAATGAGCAAAATAATGCAGCGCATTAAACTGTCAATTCAAATAACCGTCTATAAAAACGTGCATAAAGTCTAAATTAACAAATATAATTGTAAACCGCATAAACAAATGTGAACAAAACAGCATCATGCGTTTATGCATTGCTTAGCCTAATACAAAGAGCCAAATCGCCGATCACAGATTGCATTTAAAAACAAATGAGACGCAGTGAAATGAAATAAACCTTCACAAATCCGCGTTCTCTCAACTTAAAACGGTTTTAACTTTGCATCTCTTGCCTGAGACGCGAGTGCAGCAGTCATATTTGTCCGTCTAAAAATGCGCTGAATATGCGTTCAGTGTGAATGGCTTGGTTTCGGTTTTAACCTAATCAAGATCTTCTCCGCATTGAGCAACTATATTTCTCTAATATTTTGAACGAATACACAGCAGCGGCGCGTCTCGTGGGCTAGACTAACAAAACATTCAAATGCAACATCACTTACATCATCATCACCGCGTCTCGCGCACCACTGATGACGCTCCCTGACGCACTCCTAACATTCGAGTGTACCACTTTTGCATTTTAAATTCGACTAATATTAATGTTTTTATTCACAATCTCCTCATCACAGGCAGGCACAGCACTCAATTCAGCATGTGTTTGCGTGAGCTGTCTGCATCACTCATAGTACGTGCCTATAGCGAACATTTTTTTATATCGTTATCGATGAAGGTGTAACTTACCGCCGATAAATATCGATACCGTTTTATCGCCCAGGCCTACTAAAAAAAAAATCAATCAGGTAGTGCGTGATCCTCAGTCATTTAGTGCGCAACACCCGGTTTTTCTCTGTAACCATTTGCAAAGTCATCAAGTGTATGATGACTAGCGTTTAGAAACCATTCAGACTTTAAATGTTGTGTAATGAATTCCAGCCTTTAGATCATCACACTGGGTGACTGTCCCCTGTCCTGTAGTTTGATGAAATCATTAACCTGGTACTTCACACACACACACAAACCCATCACATGATTGTGAATGAGGGTGGCTAAAATCATCACACTGGGTGACTGTCCCCTGTCCTGTAGTTTGATGAAATCATTAACCTGGTACTTCACACACACACACACACAAACCCATCACATGATTGTGAATGAGGGTGGCTAAAAAAACAAAACAAACAAAAAAAAACAACACACTGAACAAGCACTTCAGGATCACATGCTTGTGAAGTTAAATCTGACAAAGTGAGAGAAATCTATGGCACAACTTCCTTTTCTTTCGCTGAAAATTGTTTAATTTAAAAATGATTAAAATGTTAAAGTGAGTGTTAGTAAATATTAATACGGCATGTTATTAGTGTCTCAACACTTAATAAAAAATAAAAACAATTATTTTTCACACACACACACAAACCCATCACATGATTGTGAATGAGGGTGGCTAAAAAAACAAAACAAACAAAAAAAAACAACACACTGAACAAGCACTTCAGGATCACATGCTTGTGAAGTTAAATCTGACAAAGTGAGAGAAATCTATGGCACAACTTCCTTTTCTTTCGCTGAAAATTGTTTAATTTAAAAATGATTAAAATGTTAAAGTGAGTGTTAGTAAATATTAATACGGCATGTTATTAGTGTCTCAACACTTAATAAAAACAATTATTTTTTTAAACACTTTTCTTGTTTTATTACTTTATTTTATTATTGATTTTCTGGTTTTATTACAGCACTACCTAGCTTGAAATCACACCGTCTGTGTCCATGTATGAAAACCTAGTGAACTACCAACCTAAACAGCATTTTTAGACATCAAATCTTGCGCATTGTTGTTGTCTACGTAGGCAGCGCGCTAGGGTGAGACACGGCCAGAGTTTTTATTCTTACAATTTTAATTGTACTAAATTATACAACATGTGCAACATCTCCTAAACATATTTTAGCCGTTTGTTGTTTTAAATTCGCGAACGATCTAGCAGACAAACATCAGAAGTTGAACGGTAATACACAGGTTATCTGTTAAAGCGAATTTACTGATCACCCTGAATTGTATTAATGTGTTTAAAACAATGCAAGGATGGTAAATATTTATCCCTCAAGCTGACGGTCTCTCTGATTATCTAACGCGCTTCTACTGGCGTAGGTAAGAATTCACGCTAATGCTAATGCTAACAGGCTCCTGTGGGCCTGCGATAATCTCCCAAAAATAAACTCAATATCTGCTTTTGTAACGCGACACCGTTTGAAATGAAACACGCAACAACACACTCGTACGTACCACTCAGTAGAATAAAGAGCAGGGTCACACAACCGCGGACAGCCATTGCGACGGGTGGACGGGTGGACGGTTCCTCTGAGCAGACAGACGGTAAGTGACGCCCGGACCGAGTGTGACCCGGTTCAGCAGCGCTACGAAGTGAGTCTCAAACCTGCGCTCATATAAGTCATATGACTGGACCACACTCTCCTCCTCCTGCACACGAGCCTTACGTCGAGTTTACGACACTGTTCATTCGCCAAACCTGTGTGTAATTAAATCAGATACCGACATGTTTTATTACCGTTTCAGAGCGCAATAAGTACACCATTGGTTTACTAAAAGCTAACATACAGACTAAGTAAAAGATTTGAGGTTTTAATGTTATAAAAATACTGATCACGGAAACTATTATAAAACCACTGTTGATCAGATCATATATATTTTTCATGATTAATACAAAAACATCCTTGTAGGTGTTGATTTTCTACAGTCAGATTTAAAGGGTTTGGTTAGCATATTTTATTTTTAAATAACTTAAGCTTAGGGATTTCAAAGTTGACATTTATATAAATATTGCTATTTTATGTGTGAAAATGTAGTATTAGTTAAGTCCTCTATCCAAAAGACATTCTGAGGCTATAGTTATCAGGCTTTTTTCTTACTCATGTCATGCATTTTTAATGTTTAAATTTCTGCTAATCAGTTGACCCTAATTGGTTTCAATACAATTCACCAAAAATCAGACTAACCAAAACAAAAAATCTGTTAAAAACAGCAAAATGTTAACATTTATACTTACATTGAAAAGGATAAACTGTGAATAATATAAACAGTACTGCAACAATTGTTCAGTATCATAACCATTTTCAACAACAAAATGTAAATTGTTCAAACTGACCCATAACATAATTCAAGGGACTTGGCAAAAAAAGCTATTCAACATTTTCACTATAGCCCATGAAAAAAGCTAATGTTAACAGAACACACGCTGAGATTTTGTGAGCCAATAGTGGGAATATTTTGTCATTATACAGCACATAATACACATAGTTTCTAGCTAAACTAAAACGTTTTTGAATCACAAAACAATCATAAGGCAGACAAATGCAGTTTACATACAAAAAAACATAACAGAAATTGTACTTGTTAATTGCATTAAATGACTTAAAAACATTTGACATCCTGCCCCATTCAAATGTGACAACTTGACATTTATGAATAACATTTTTAAAGCCTTTTAGTAAAAATAAACATAATATAGTTGGCCACAAATTATTTTTTTTCAATGTAATGATACTGAAATTTTAGCTTGGATGGTGTAATTCACAAACACTATTGTTATTTAAGACGGTCCAGAGTGCAAGTGTTTTCAAGAGTTTTGAGACTGCTCTGCGCATGAGGTATTGTCGCCCCCTGATGGAGAAGACCGGAAACGTCAGGCCTCGCGCTTAACCAACGCGCCTCAACAGCAGCTGCGCAACGGTGGGAAGTACTTCCGGCGGGTCAGCGTCGCCTCTTAGAAAAGTTACTATTTCCCCGCGGACTTTTCCTCAAACCTAAAATACTAGTCTATCTCCCGAGCGCAAAGACGGCGTCTGGCAGAATGCTTTAACGCGAACAGCCCTCGGAGAAAAACAGTTTGTAATCCAACGGACTTTGTGCAGCGCGCCGGAGTGCGCGCGAGCGAGAGGAAGCAGTATCCAACCATCTTTCCTCTGCTGGCAATAACAAGAACAGAGAAGGGTCCAAGTGGGGCTGCACTTCTCAATTTATCCTCCTTTTCTCCTTATTTATACTCGGAGCCGCGAGGTTGCACGTCCCCCGACCGAGACCGAGGAATATAAAGCGTCCACACCCGGGATCGTAGCATTAGTAGATTAGCGATTTGATTTGGTATTTCTTTTTTCATGTTTCCAACAGGTTTACCTTCCCCTAATCCCCCACCGCCAGCCCAAGAGCCCAGACCGGCTGCTTCTGATGTTCACAACGACTGTAGCTTAACGTCTTCTAAGAAGAGGAAAATTTACAGTTCCGAGAAGGAAGACATTGATTCAATATCTTCGTCTCCTAAAGCCATTTGTAATTCCTCCTCCACAACGTCCTGCTCTTCCAGCTCACAGCAGCAGCAGCACATCCAGAAGAAGTTGAGGTTCGAGGACCCGCTGGATTTGATCGGACTGGATGTGAAGATGGCCGAGGAGTCGTGTAACTCTGCTGAATCGTGTTCAAAGGCGAGAAATGTGTTCCTGCCCGGAGGTGTCGGGCATCATGCTAACGGACTGACCAAGTCTGCCGGATCCGCCACCTTCTCCAACAGCAAACCCGGTGCTGCGAAGAAACTTGTTATCAAGAACTTTAAAGGTACGTTAGGTGAAGAGACTGCGGTCCCCCTCGTCTAATTTGAAACATCTTGGGCTGTCTCAAAACTTAGCGAGCTGTCTGCCTAAACGGCATTTTGGGCCAAACACATCTGCGATGTCCAGAAAAGATGCCTAGTACCTAAACCTGTAGTAAACAACTTGAGTTGAGTTGAGTTGTCTCGGTGGAGATCAGCATTTTAGACTTTCTTATGTAACTTTCTTTTGTTTATGGAGGAACATCACTTGAGTAAACAAAATCAAAACAAAAACACTGTTGATTGAGATTCATTGATGTTCTTAACTGTAAACATCCTTTTCTATTCTATATAATATATACTATTTTCATCTTATATGCGTGTTTACATATATATACACACATATTGTTCTCAAAAACAGTGACACGCAGCAAAACTAAGAATATTAAACACATTTTTAAGGAAATAATAATGTAAGTGTTGTACCATAATACTAGCTTCATAAACCCTCAAAGTGCATGTTTAGCCTCATGATAGTGCAACTTATCTGTACCGTTTAACTTTTGTCTTAAACTCAAAAATATTTTAATTAGTGATCAACATTACGCCACATGTTGTCATTTGCATCTTTACATTTAGTCTTAGTAGCCATAATCTGTCATAAGTTATTGCACAATAAATTCAGTAACTGTCTTATAAAAGTAAATGCTGTGAGCTGTAACAGATGAGAACAGCTTTTTATTTATAAGTACTAATAGATTTGATGTAACTTGCGTTTGTTTATGATAATGGCACATCACTTGTGTAAACAAAATCAAAACCTGACCTTCATTGAAACACTAACGAGTATTTATGTTTCTTATGCATTCCTTAGTTGTTTATACACATCCTTCTTTTTGTTTTAATGTTATATCAGAAAAGCCCAAATTACCGGAGAATTACACGAATGAGACCTGGCAGAAGCTGAAGGAGGCAGTAGAGGCCATTCAAAACAGCACTTCAATAAAGTACAATTTAGAGGAGCTCTATCAGGTAGGTTTTATGTGTATATTTGTTTTATCATTTAGTAATATTTTACATGGAATCTAATGCTATTTATTCCCCTTCGTCTTCTCAGGCTGTTGAAAATTTGTGCTCCCATAAGATATCTGCCAAGCTCTATAAACAGCTCAGAGTGGTCTGTGAAGACCATATCAAGGCACAGATTGACCAGTTCAGAGAATATCCTTTTCCTTGCTACAAATTTCTACTCTGTTTCTTGCTGTCTTGTTAGGTTGAGAGTTAAAGTAAAGAGCATGCATCAGGGCTCAACATAAAGATTTTTTTTCAGTCCAAAATTTAGTTTTCGTTTCATGAAACGAAACAATGGCCCATCACAAACGTGATGCCATTATTAGAAACATATTTTTGCCGATATTTTGAGGATTCTTTGATGTATAAAAAGTTTAAAAGAACCCATTTTTAATAGAAATTGTAACATGATAAATGTCTTTACTATCACTTTTGATCAATTTAATGCATCCTTGCTGAATAAAAGTATTAATTTCCTTCAAAAATTCTTATGGAATCCAAACATTTGCATGGTAGTTTCAGAAATATATTTTTGTTTTTAATGAATCATGTATTTCTTAAAACAAAAGTAGCGAAATTTATTTAAATTTTATATAATAGCTGAACTTTTGACATAAAACTCATTAACGCTTTTGCTAGAAAACTATGGCAGACGGTGCATATGATGAGCTAAATATACGAGGGAACATTTTTCAGAAATGATGAGAAGTTGAGTCACTGGTTATTAATTAGGACTGTCTGCTTACAGACTGCTAATCATAACTGTGATAGGAAACCATTTCTTAACTCTTGCCCTACGGATGCCCTAGACAGTGTTCTGTTCCTCAAGAAAATAGACAAATGTTGGCAAGATCACTGCAGACAAATGGTTAGTCTACTCTAGATCTCTGTCGCTACATGTGTTTTAAATAAGTTAAAAGTTGAACTTTTTATAAAATGTTCCTATATCTAGTTATTTACCTATTTGAAAAAAATGCTTTTAATACAAAAACATTGTCTTTTCTTCTAGATCATGATTAGGAGTATATTTTTGTTTTTGGATCGCACATATGTTTTACAAAATTCAATGCTGCCATCAATCTGGTATGTCTTCACACTTGATGAAAGATGTTGAATTTGTAACATTGGCACGGTCACCTTGGCTGTCTTTATTTACTACCATTGCTTTGCTGCTCCTTCCACTGGCGGTTAATGATACATTTGTGTTTTGTCTTCAGGGACATGGGCTTGGAGTTGTTTCGTTTCTATATCATCAGTGACCTGAAGGTGCAGAGTAAGACGATCGATGGGATTCTGCTTCTTATTGAGAGAGAGCGGAGTGGAGAGGCCGTAGACCGCAGTCTCCTGAGGAGTCTTCTGAGCATGCTCTCAGATCTGCAGGTTAGCTCACTTGATTTCTCATTTGTACTCAAATCAATGTATCTGGGTTTATGTTGCATTTATGGCATAACCATTTAATAATACTAATAATAATTTAGACTTTCTAAAAAAATTTTAACTGCAAAAAAAAAAAAAAAAAAATTTACTTGTACTTCTTATTGTTTGCTTTAGTGGCATGTCTGTATAAAGTCAGTAAACCCAGTAACTGGGTGGGTCACATGACACAGACAAGGATACAAAATAAGTATTTTTAAGAGTCTGGTTAGTTTGGCATGCATTTTCATATTTGCTAGAAATATTATATTTTTGCCCCAAAAAAAAGTGCAAAAGCTCAGACTTTTTTGTGGAAAAAAAAGCAAAACATTGAGCAGTTATGAATATTAATGCACATTTTTTAAAAGCGAGTATTAATGTAGGTGTTCATAATTCATGTTTCTGCTACATGGTACATGGCCCGTTTATCTCCATGGTAAGGTCTTTACTGTAACAACTTGCTTTTTTCAACTGAGGGATGAGTCAAAGTATTTTCATTACTCACCAACATTATGCCACATCCTGTCATTTGCATCTTTACACTTAGCCTCAGTAGCAAAACATTTTATTCTGCATTGATGAAAGATGAAAACAATGGCAACTTTTCTACAGATCTTGTGAGGTCTTGATCCCTGATATTATTCAGCCCTTAAATTGTGTGGCCAAACCTGTAAGTTTTAGTATTGTTGTAATCACACCTTTGTTCGTTTTATGACAGATTTATCAGGATTCATTTGAGCAGCGCTTTCTGGAGGAGACAAATCGACTGTATGCTGCAGAGGGCCAGAGACTCATGCAGGAAAGAGAGGTGAGTTTCACATCAGGGGAACAAAGTATTTATTTAATTTTTTTTAATTTTTTTTAATTTTATTTTATTGTTTTATTATTGTGATTCTGTGAGCAATGTTTTAGTATTGTTGTAATCACACCTTTGTTCGTTTTATGACAGATTTATCAGGATTCATTTGAGCAGCGCTTTCTGGAGGAGACAAATCGACTGTATGCTGCAGAGGGCCAGAGACTCATGCAGGAAAGAGAGGTGAGTTTCACATCAGGGGAACAAAGTATTTATTTAATTTTTTTTAATTTAATTTTATTGTTTTATTATTGTGATTCTGTGAGCAATAAATTATTGGCACGTCTCATGAAGCGTATGTTAGCTACAGGCTGGTACTTTGATACAGGCTAGATGTTTATTTAATTTTTTTAATTATGTAATCACCCTTGGTTGTTGTTTCAAATTTATTTACACCCCTACAAAGGAATGCTGCTATTTTGTTTTTGTGGAACATAAAATGAAATAACCTTTTCTATACAATCACATTTCGTAGCAACCAAATGCTTTGAAGTATTCCAGGTGATTTGTATTCTCATATGTTTTTGAGAGATGTAGCAGAGGTGAAGATTACTAGTATAAGTCATAAGGACCACTTTTATGGTGCTTTTCTGTCTGGCCTTTTGGAACTGTGATTGTATGAAGAAAAAAAGATCAAAATGAAGATGTTTCACAAAATAAACAAACATACATTTTTGTGAATTATGCTTTTAATTAGATTTTTCTCTGCCTCATTTAGGATAGTCACATTTCAGTTCTTTATCGCTAACAAATATTTTCTTTTCAGGTGCCAGAGTATCTCCATCATGTCAACAAACGTCTGGAAGAGGAGGCAGACAGAGTCATTACATACTTAGACCAGAGCACACAGTAAGTATGCAGAGCATATGACTAACATTTACAATTAGTAGTTATTTTGGTAAAAAAAGATCTGTGAACCTTTGTCTTTTTTATTTGTAGAAAACCCCTCATTGCCACAGTAGAAAAGCAACTGCTTGGAGAACACCTCACTGCAATACTTCAGAAAGGTATCGCCTTCATTGAATGAAGATGGTTGACATTGTATTTGGTGTTCAAATGGTCAACCATCCTCAAAATTAGAAGTGATTTACATAAGTGCTTGTTTTCTTGTCACACTCTAGGTTTGAATAACCTGCTGGATGAGAACCGTATTCAGGATCTGTCTCTGCTGTTCCAGCTCTTCAGTCGTGTGAGGGGAGGCGTTCAGGTGCTTCTGCAGCACTGGATCGAGTACATCAAGGTGTGCAGTGCAATGGAACCCATCTAGATGACTGAGAAAACCATCATAACATTTCTGAATGTGTCTTGTTTGTTGTGTCTCAGGCCTTTGGAAGCACAATTGTCATCAACCCAGAGAAAGACAAGACAATGGTTCAGGAGCTTTTGGATTTCAAGGATAAAGTCGATCACATCATTGATGTGTGTTTCATGAGGAATGAGAAGTTTGTTAATGGCATGAAGGAGGCTTTCGAGACCTTTATCAATAAACGGCCAAACAAACCTGCTGAGCTCATAGGTCAGTTGACAATGTTTTCCCACCAATCATTGAGGGTTTTTGTTTGATTGAGAATTTAAAGCTGGTTGGATCAAGACAAACTTTCACTCATTTTGTTTTATTTTCTATAGCAAAATATGTGGATTCAAAGCTCCGTGCTGGGAACAAAGAAGCGACTGATGAGGAACTTGAGAAAATGTTGGACAAGATAATGATCATATTCCGGTTCATTTATGGTAATACATTTAAACTTTATGCTCTGTTCCAAAGACCCAGAAAGTTTTCAATTATCTGTCTAAGCTTCATAGACTTTTTCGTCTCTCTCTCTTAAGGCAAAGATGTTTTTGAGGCTTTCTACAAGAAAGACTTGGCGAAGAGGTTACTGGTGGGAAAAAGTGCCTCTGTAGATGCAGAGAAATCAATGCTGTCAAAACTGAAGCATGGTAAATTACATTTCTCCTTTCATATTTTATTCTTAAAACATAACGTTTTCAGTAACACAGATGTTTCGAAAGCCTGTGAAGTAAAAAATGGTCAATTGTGTTTTTCTTGTAGAATGTGGAGCTGCATTTACCAGTAAGCTGGAAGGGATGTTTAAAGACATGGAGCTGTCAAAAGATATTATGGTGCAGTTCAAACAGGTAATGATAGCTTTTATTTTCATTTTCATTATTTCCATTCACTTATTTTGTGTCTAGTTACATCGTAAAAATTTCTCTTTTCGAATCTGCACCTCAGCACATGCAATGCCAAAATATTCCTGGGAACATTGAGCTGACAGTGAACATCCTCACTATGGGTTATTGGCCAACATATGTACCCATGGAAGTACATCTGCCTGCAGAGGTCTGTTCTGATATTGAGAAATGGGATCTTGGATTAGATATTCCTTGTTACTTAAACATGGCAATAATACCCGTAATTCAAATTAATCGCATTATAATACATTTTTAATCTTTTATTAATACCTTTCACTCTCCAGATGGTGAGATTGCAGGAGATTTTCAAAACGTTTTACCTGGGCAAACACAGTGGACGGAAACTACAATGGCAGTCTACGTTAGGACATTGTGTTTTAAAGGCAGAATTCAAAGAGGTAACACGCGTTTTATTTCAAAAAGAGCAACTTGGCATGAATACGGGACGATTAGCTGATCATAATATTTATTTACTTAATTTAAAACATCCTTTTCTAAAGGCTTCTCAGAGCTGATGTTTAATGAAGGGGAGGAGTTCTCTCTGGAGGATATTAAACTTGCTACAGGCATTGGTATGGACACTTGTTTCAAGCAAGCACATTGCAATTTATTCCTGTTGTTAAGAGATACTATTCCATTTAATGTTAAACTTTAAGTCCAAAGTTAAACCAGGGTTTTTGTGGGTCTTAAGAAGTCTTCTGCAAATTAAGGCCTTAAAAAGTCTTAAATCAGAGCAGAAAGTCTTAAATTCAAAGTCATGGCATTAAATATTGCATACATAGCAAAAAAAAGTATTTAAATGAAGATACATTTACTTGATGTAAATGTAAAATGAAATCTTTAAGTACAGTAAAAGTGATTTCCATATTCTAGAGGTTGGAATCTTAGCTATTCAAGCCTTTTTTTTCTGTAAAATTAATTAAAAAAAAAGTCATGGTTAGTTGGAAGTTGTATTTTCAAACTTTGAAGTGTTGCTAATACAACTCAATGTGCTCCCTATACATTTACATTGAGAACATCGACGTATTGTTTGCTTAAATTTATTTCTTAATTTTTCTTTATTTGAAAAAACTTAAAAAGTAAAGAAATGTACCTTCATCAAACCTCCAGAAACCCTGTAAACCTTTAAACAGCCTTTAACAAATTTGACAACATTTAAAATACACACACACTTGCAGAGGACGGTGAGCTGAGGCGGACTCTGCAGTCACTGGCCTGTGGGAAGGCACGTGTCCTTACCAAAATCCCAAAGAGTAAAGACGTGGAGGATGGAGACAAGTTCTCTTGTAATGATGATTTCAAACACAAACTCTTCAGGATTAAAATCAACCAGATCCAGATGAAAGAAACGGTACTGTCCGGCACAACTGTCATTTGATTGTTGTTGTCTGAAAGTTATTGGCCGCTTGGTAACCATTGGCCTCATGGTTCTTTGCTGTACCTCACAGGTGGAGGAGCAAGCCAGCACTACAGAGAGAGTATTCCAGGATCGTCAGTACCAAATCGATGCTGCCATTGTTCGAATCATGAAGATGAGGAAAACTCTCAGCCATAACCTTTTGGTGTCTGAAGTGTACAACCAACTTAAATTCCCAGTTAAGGTGAGGTCATGGTTGCAGTTAATGGTGTAGTTTCACTGGATTGGCTATAAATAGATGTCTTGCAGCTAGACTAAACTGCAAGGGTGCAGCCAAACAAAACTAGAAAACAATCTAGTAATCACAGAGTCATGTACAAAATGTAAATAAGTTTTTTTTTGTGCAGTGAGACAGTTTTGTGCATTAAAACGAAAGCATTTTCAATTACATGTTGCACAATCACATTATCTGTGAACAAGTTTGCAAAAGTATTTTTCTTGTTGCTATTTTTTTTTTTTGTAAAGAAAGTAATACTTTTATTCAGAACGGATTCATTAAATTGCTCAGAAATAACAGTAATGACATTTATGATGTTACAGTAAAATATTAAGCAGCACAACTGTTCTCAATATTGATAATGTTTATTGTGCACAATAGGGATGTAACGATTACCGGTTTGACGATAAATCATGATAAAGTTCCCCACGGTTAGTATTACCGTTTCATCTTTTAATTATCATTAAAACCGTATTAGATTACTGCGATTTGAACAACTGGCGATAAATTAATACTGTCCAGCATAAAGCACAGTTTTAAGTAACAGTCTCACGTGCGCACAGCAAGCAAAGTAGTTTCGTTTTGAGTGAAAACAGGGCGGAAAAGCTGGGAGGTTTTAAAAGAATTATACAAATGAATATATGAATGAATTAATTATATGAATGTACCTCTGAAGGTTCTGACAAAAATGCCGATTTGATGGCATTTTGTTTTCATCTTTGCTCCTTGTAATACCTGAAGGAAGTGTTCTTAATCACAAAACTGCTTTGGCCACAGCGGTTACGGGAAACGGCTGTAATTCAGGTTTTTATCAGCGCCACCTGCTGTCAGCGAGTGGATTTACAGAGACTTATATTTACATTCAGCCTGTGTGCAGTTTCTGTCTGGCCAAAAACGCACCGAATTTGCATGCCCTGCTGTAAATTTTGACCGGTTGATGGAAAAACAAGCTTACGTGGATTCTACACATTTAAGATTCAGATTCAGATCATTCAGATAAGTTGTCTAGAATTATTTATGGAGCAGATAAAATACATAAAATCATTTAATAATCAATTATCATTTTGACTTATATATTTTCTTTATTTAAAGGCTGAAACGTGAGGTTTACCTTTTTATTAAATTTTTTCAAAGCTTTATTTAAACATTTACATTAGATATTTCAACATGTTATTAAACTGTTGTCAGTCAAGTTGTCATTTAAAATCCGAACATCATTGGTAATGTTATTGTTTTAGTGATTATGCAAACAAAAAGTCATTTTATTTGTTGCTTGTTGATTTTTAAATATAAAACTTGGTCAAGTGATTTGTGTTGGTATTTTTGAACATCTCCAGCACATTTTAACAATACCGTGATAATACTGATAACTGATCATTTTGGTCACTATAATAATAATGATGAGAAATGTTCATACCGTTACATCCCTAGTGCACAATATCAGCATATTAGAATGATTTCTGAAGGATCATGTGACACTGAAGACTGGAGTAATGACTGCTGAAAATTGAGCTTTGCCATCACAGGAATAAAATATATTTTAAAATATATTAAAATAAAAAGTTATTTTAAGTTGTAATAACATTTGCTGGTTACTATTTTACTGTATATAGGTTTTAATAATGTACATGTTATGCTGTTATACTATTTTTCATCAAATTGGTGAGCAAAAAGAGCCTTTTAAATATCTTAACAACTGCAAACTTTTGAAAAGTAGAGTTTAAACTGCACTTAAGTTCCTGTGTCCAGCTTGTTGTGGAATGAGATGCCTACATAAAAAAAAAATCTGACCGTTTAATGTGAATTACGTTCAGTAAAAATAATCATGATCAAAGTCAAGTCAAGTAAATTCTTCACTGATAATGTATTATTTTTTTCTCTTGTCTCAAGATTGCATATAATATGAGCAATATGAATATTGTTCTCAATGTCACTAAATTTGGAAATTAGTCCAAGACTCGCAGCAGAGAACATATGCCACTGCCACTAAATTTTGTTTCTTCTTTTTGCAGCCTGCTGATCTGAAGAAGAGGATAGAGTCACTTATTGACAGGGACTACATGGAAAGGGATAAGGAGAATCCCAATCAATACAACTATGTGGCTTAGAGAGAGGGAGAATAAGAGGGGTAGATGAGGGATGTTAGAAATGACAGGAGGAGGCTGTTCTCAGTGACGTTGTTTACTTCCCTTAGCACATGGAGCCCCTTGTTCCAGGTTTTGTTCATCTTCACCCAGTGACCAACAACTGAATCAGTTTTCTCTTCATGGATTTGACAGGGTAGGGTATGTTCTATTTCTATCAGAATGGCGTGGCCAATTAGAAGAAAAGAAAATACAAAATTATTTTGTTAAAATGCTTCTGAGAATTGGACTATCCCAAGTTTAAAAAGAAAAGTTGTTTATTTTCAGATTTGGCTCCATGGCTTTTGTTTGTCTCTGGCATGTTTTTTTTTTTCATGGTTTATTCATGCAAATATCACAACATATTGACGTATTACCTGTGCAAAGAAAACCAACACCAGATAGATTGAATTTGACTCTCTTGTTCAGTCAGTGTTGTATTGGGTAGCAGTGTGTGAAAGCAGGTTTTCTCTTTGCCAATGTTTGTACAAAGAAAAGAAGATTCAGCTGATTGGTCACAAGCAATTTATGTTCTGTGAATGTGATTTATTGATAAATAGAACAATTGAGGCTGATTGGAAATTTCACAGTTTGTGCCAAGATTAGATAAAACCAAGCACTTGTTTTGTTTGTAGGAATGTTAACGCTGCTAAACACTAACTTGTACATCTTCCTTCTTTTTCCCTCCTTGCTTACACCTTCTCACATTTCCTCCTCTTGTTTATTTTGTATATACATTTTACACACAACTTAGATGTTTGACACTCTCGACTACATTGCAACTGCATTCTTTCTCCCTGGAAACTCTGAACAAGCACAGCAGTACCATTTTATCATTCTAGTGTTTCCAAGTTTATATAACCCTTAAGTTTTGAATTAGGCCCGTATACTGAGAAACTCCTCTGTGTGGCATCACTGGATCTATCTGTGGAATTTTTGGCAATGGTGTTTTGAGAAAACATACTTAAGTGGACAGTCGTCCAGTGTCTGGAAAAAGTATGCTTGTTTTTATTGCCTCAGAATAAACAACTGTATGTGTTTCCATGATCTTGTCCCTCTAATCAATTTGTAGTATTTCATTGTTTTTGTGAAAAAACATTGTGCAAAATAGATATTCTAACCAATAACCATATAAAACCTGACGTTGTATTTTGTGTGTGTGTGTGTGTGTGTGTGTGTGTGTGTATATATGTATATCTCTTTTTTTTTTTTCTTTTTCTAAAGTTGGCTCAGATTCTAATTTTATTTAAGCCATTTCAGGCAAATTCATAGTTTCATGCACTTAATAAATTTAGAGTTTTGTGGACTAGTTTGTTCTAAAACACATCTTCTTTCAGACTAGTGGAAGAAAACATCCAACATACATTTAAGTGTTTATTTTATTATACCTTATAAGTGTCTGTCAATTAAAGACAGTTTTCTCAAAATGTTTTTTTTTCACCTCATGCCCTAAACCACAAATCTCCACATTAGTTTGTTTATATATCATTCATTGAACATTTTATTCCTAAAAATATAATGACCATTTTATTTTCCCTTCTGGCTCCTGACATTGTTTTCTGACGATGGAGTGATGTAAAGAGAAACTAAAAATTCATGTTAGCAAAATTATTTTATCTGGTTTTCAGGTTTCTGATCTAGAAATGTATGCAAATTGGTGCATATTTAATTAGATAACGCATTATTTACGTATTTAAACATTTCAGGGGAAAACTAATACAGAACTGTCTTCATGTGCTGCGATCAGTTACAATTTTTAGTCACTTTGACTATATTGACTTTATTGACTACTGACTTTATGATTAACGATATCAGTAAAGTAAAGTACAGATGTATTGCAAAGTACATAGCATTAGCATCATTTTGTCTGGCATACTGTGCTTCCATCCCTTGCCGTAAATTATTTATCACTGTCGTAAATGTCGTAAACGGGAATCACCTGCGGTTGACGTGAAGCGTGGAGTTAGATCATTAAATCTTCTACTGAATGTTTAGTTTTTATTTTTTGGTTCAAAAAGGTTAACAATTACGAGCTGTAAGATCACACAGATAGGAGGACAAGAGTGACCGATAACGACCTGCAAGGATGTTTAAAAAGTAAGCTTGAGCCGTTGTCAACCTTAGAAATAGTAGCTAACACAATTTAGCATTGTTATAGTAATGCAGTGTTTCATTTAACTAGTAGCTTTGCCTTCTCAGTAGAGATAGAAGAAATGTTGCATGTAAACGCTTACCAGTTATATATGGGATTGTAATTTAATATCTGCCCTTAATTCTGTAACCGAGACATCAACCTGTTTAGCTAACACTGCTAACTTGCTCTGTCACAGCTGACTTTTATGGACTTTTATATTTTAGTGTTTTTTTGTTCTTATTTTTTGCTAAGATACTTCTAATATTTTTTAACTTGAACAGATGATAAGCAAACTGCAAAAAAAGACTGTAATAAAAAAAGTTTTTTATTACATCTTTTGCAAGTTGCAAAAGATGTTTACATTAAACATTGAAGGACAGACACTTGGTCAAACAATTGGTGGTAATTGTTATACCAGACCTTTATACTAGACCAGTTTCTTTATTTTGCCATAAAAAAGAGACCTGATCCTGTGTTATCTGCAGGTATTAGACATTAAATATGCTAATTCCTTTCTTTCTCTTTGTCTTCATAGATTTGATGAAAAGGAAAATGTTTCTAACTGTATTCAACTGAAGACGTCTGTTATTAAGGGTATAAAGAATCAGCTGTTAGATCAGTTTCCCAACATCGATGATTGGCTCAACCAGATAATGCCCAAAAAGGACCCTGTCAAAATTGTGAGATGGTGAGAGATACACAAGAGTACACAATATGGAAAGTCAGTGCTTATTAATTAGAATTACTAAAAGTGTAACTCATTTTACATCAGAGGTGTGATATTTTGTCTACGTTTCCAGTCATGAACATATTGAAATTCTTACGGTAAATGGAGAGCTGCTCTTCTTCAGACAGAGAGAGGGACCCTTCTATCCCACCCTCAGACTTCTACACAAATGTAAGATGGCTTTCATTTTCATCAGTAAGATGCTTTTCCTGCAGAAAATATTGCCTCAGGTTCCAGAAAATTGCTTATATTACCCAAGTTACACTTACTGTTCATTTGGTTAGACTAATGCTTGGTACTCACATGTCTGTTCTCCAGATCCCTTCATTCTGCCACACCAACAAGTAGATAAAGGAGCCATCAAATTTGTTCTGAGTGGAGCCAATATCATGTGCCCAGGCCTCACATCACCAGGAGCCAAACTCTACCCTGCTGAAACAGACACAGTAGTTGTATCTTTCCAGCTGTTGTATTATATCTAGTAATATTTTCTTCTATGACAAATGAATAATAATGTTTTAATGTAAGGGATTAGTTCACATCTTTTGTCAATTCCAAAAAGGACACAAAAAACACCATACGACTAATGAGATTAAAATATATATATATATATACTGTATATAATTGTGACCTAGGACCACAAAACCAGTCATAAGGGTCAATTTTTTAGAATAATAATGTTTTAATGTAAGGGATTAGTTCACATCTTTTGTCAATTCCAAAAAGGACACAAAAAACACCATACGACTAATGAGATTAATATATATATATATACTGTATATAATTGTGACCCAGGACCACAAAACCAGTCATAAGGGTCAATTTTTTTAAATTAAAATGTATACATCATCTGAAAGCTGAATAAATAAGCTTTCCATTGATGTATGGTTTGTTAGGATAGGACAATATTTGGCAATCTGGAATCTGAGGGTGCAAAATAAAATCTAAATATTGAGAAAATCGCCTTTAAAGTTGTCCAAATGAAGTTCTCAGCAATGGATATTACTAATCAAAAATTAAGTTTTGATATATTTACAGTAGGAAATTTATAAAATATCATCATGGAACATGATCTTTACTTAATATCCTAATGAATTTTTGGCATAAAAGAAAAAGCGATAATTTTGACCCATACAATGTTTTTTTTTTGGCTATTGCTACAAATACACCCCAGCGACTTAAGACTGGTTTTGTGCTCCAGGGTCACAATTATTATTGTTCTGTTCATCATACAAAGGAATCGTATGATGTAAAAGTAAAAAATGTTAACTTTTTTAAATAAAAATTTGTATTCAGCATACAAGTTTTAAACAGCAAGTAAATAATGACCATAAATCAGTGTTATTTTAGTATTATTTATGATGATTAAATTGTATTAATATTTTGTATTATTTTGTTTTGTTTTTAATTTTATTTTGTGAACAATTCTGTTTAGTTTTAATTTATTTTCATTTCAATTTTAGTTTTAGCAATTTTAGTGCTTCAACCAAGGCAACATACTAATATTGATATTTTATTGTATTTCAGTTTCCGGAAACAACTTTTTAATAGTTTGAGTTAAAAATAACATAACTGCCATAAATATGAGCAAACATTTAATAGTAATAGTTTTATATGTAATAGTTTTGAATGGTGTGCGTTGCATATCACAGGTTGTTGTCCTTAAGTATTTGTTTCAGGCTATAATGGCAGAAGGGAAGCAGCATGCGCTCTGTGTGGGAGTCATGAAGATGTCTGCAGATGACATGTAAGTGTTTCTATGCTGCATCTGCACTTTGAATCACAATTTGGCATAAAAATGTGAAGATATTTTCTTGTCTCACTTCACTGAACAGAGAGAAAGTAAACAAGGGAATTGGAATCGAGAATGTTCACTACCTGAATGATGGACTGTGGCACATGAAGACGTATAAGTAAAGACAGACGAGAGGATGTGGTGGAATCGTTTGGACCTGTTATCACCAGGCTGCCCGTCTACTGTTTACATGAATGGACTCAACTGTGTACCATGCCGAAAGCTTTGAAAGCCACCCCATTTTAATGCACAAATAAAACCTGCATTCAAGTCATTCCAAACTGAAATGGTCTCTTGCTGCAGAGAGAACTGAATAGTGTCATGGCAGCTTAAAGCCTGTTTTAACAACAGTGTTTGTATGTGTATTTCTCAGTTTCCCAAGACAGAATCATTTGGTATTTGTTTAGATGAAATTGCTTATTACACCACATGCCACCATATACTATGTATCATATGCAATTGTAGACCCTATGGTTTTATAGCTTTGAATCCATTTTTTGGTTGCACTAAATGTAGGGAACGTACATCTATGCCAACCAGCTTGTGAAAGACAAACTCATCTCGGCATGTAAGGAAAATCCCATTCATTTTAAGGTAACCGTAATAAAGGGAGAACCAAAATGAGGTACATTGCATTCAAATTTGTGTGTATTCTCTGGGAATCAAAACCAATAGTACAGGGTCTAAGTCTACACTTATTGGATCCTCTTGTCACTTTATTACTTTCTTTCTGATGCCACAGTTTTTAGCCAAGTCAGGCTAGAAATGACCATGAATATATAATGGCTAAAAGGTTTCTTAAACAGAAACTTTTATTTTTCACTTTTAGTTTGTCTTGCAGTGTATTAATCAACACAAATGTATTTATTGAATTCATTTATTTATCAACAATAGAATATATTTAACCTCTATCGTAAATCTATAATATTATAAAACTATAAATTCCTTTAATTTCCCTTGAGAATGAATGCACATTTTTCCCATTATAGGAATCAGTCTTTGGAATCAAGAACAGCTGCAGCAGAATATGTGTTCTCATTCTCAAATTAATACAGATTTTATAAATGAGGCCCCAGGTATTTTTCACACCACACTGTCAAATGCAGAAATACAGGAAGAAACTGTAAAATGCATTACACTGTTAGCTCCTGGAACCCATGCATTTATTATAGTGATTACTGTGGGAAGATGTACAGAGGAATATGTGATCAATTTACATCTGATAGAGAAGATGTTTGGTCTGAAAGCTGGACAGTTCAGCATTGTTCTGTTTATTAGAGGAGATGATCTTAAGACTGAATCCATAGAAGATTTTGTGAAGAGCCGTAACTGTGCAAACCTCAACTGGCTGATCAAATTCTGTGAAAACAGATACCTGGTTTTTAATAACAGAGAAAAACGAGACAGAACTCAAGTTACCGAACTTGTTAAATGAGGATTACATCCAACAAAGATCAATATTTTACAGACACGGTATCAACCAAGACCTGGAAATGTCTATTAAAAAGTGGGTAGAGAAAATACTGAAAGAGAGAGCGAGGCTCAAATTGAGAATTTAAGAACCAAATATGAGACAGAAATGGATCAGCTCAAGAAGAGACTAGAGGAAGAGAATTAATGAATTAAAAGCAGTCAAGTACAGTCAAAAATCCCTTATCTAGAATGGAAATGAGAGCTGGAGATTCAGAAATGATCCAAAAATTAAGATGGATGAACGAAGAGGCTGAAAATAAGAAAAGTAGCAAAAAGAAACAGAAGACAGAGAGAAAAAGATCAATATAAACATGATTAGGAAAATGCTATAAAACATAAGACATTAAAAAGAGATTGTGAAGAAATAAAGAGGATCGAACAATAAAAACAGAGAAAAATAAAAGGTTTAAAATGACAGCATAGACATTCAAAAAGAAATTAAACGACAACAGAATTGGATAATTTAAGAGAATGAGTGAAACACTAAAAAACAAGAAAATCAAGAACTGGAGAAAATGAGACATTTTCAAGAGACTTAGAAGAGAGAATATGAAGAAAAGGAAGCTGATCTTTTTTTCTTTCAGATTTAAAGCTCGCATCAAACCCAAACAAGATGAGATTTCTACAACCGGACAGCTCTTTCAGAGTTTAATAAATGACTGAATGATTGAAAAAATCAAGTATCCATAGAAATGAAGAGCAATTAATGCATATTCATTTGTTCACTGCACTGTATCATCTGTTGATGGCATTCTTTTATTTGTAACCTTTACTATTACTTAAAGCAGGTGAGATCAAGCATCCTGATGTTTACTAAATAAAAAGTAGTAAAGAACTATTTAAAAAAGGTCACAGACCAGTGCATAATGAAGTACATCTGAATTAAAGAAACAATATTTCGATATGTAAATAAATAGACACATTTCTATGCAAAAGTATGGGCCAAAATACCAGCAACCGTGTGTGAAAACCTTGTGAAGACTTACAGAAAATGTTTGACCTCTGTCATTGCCAACAAAGGGTATATTATAACAAAGTATTGAGATGAAATTTTGTTATTGACCAAATACTTGTTTTCCACCATAATTTGCAAATAAATTCTTTAAAAATCCTACAATGTGATTTTCTGGATTTTTTTTCTCATTTTGTCTCTCATAGTTGAGGTATACCTATGATGAAAATTACAGGCCTCTCTCATCTTTTTAAGTGGGAGAACTTGCACAATTGGTGGCTGACTAAATACTTTTTTCCCCCACTGTATATTAACCTTTCAAACCACATTAGTTTGATATTTTTAAGGGCGATATAGACAGTTTACCATACAGATGCCATGTATCCCCTCAGTACAACATACATCCAAAACACATTTGAAAAATTATCTAAAGGTTCTTCATTTTCATTCCTAACCCCATATATGTGTGGCATTCATACATCTAGTGTAATTTTTATTCAAAATACTATCAAGTGCACAAAATTATCCAATATTGGCTAAGTACATACTGCACATCACAGCTGACTCAGCCCTGCACCCAGTTATGATCAACGTCTCAATTCTGTGAGTGACAGTAACAGAAGCCATGAAGTCAATCAGTCATTATCAGAGTCTTTAGGAGGCAGAAATGTCAAGGAGTCATGAAAATCATGTCCATATGGCCGGAGCCTGTAGACGCCATACATCAAAACCTGCATCTGGCTCGGAGACATGCCAGCGAACGTGATGGCCATGTCCGAACAACAGGCCTCCACGGCATCGGCCGGGTTTTGGCCCATGCTGTCAGAAATCAAGGAGCTGACGCTCTTCTTGTTAAAAAGTCCTTTGCCTTGCGCATCCTCTCCGTTTTCAGCAAACACCCCACTGTATTTCAGACAGGTGGCAAGCTGCTTTTCTTCAGGGGTCTTCCACAAGGCATGTCCTCGCTCTGGGCATCGGTCCTCATCTTTGAACATCCCTATCAGCCTCCTCATTGCTTCATAGCTCAGCACGATCCCGCTGTCATACTCCACGTAATCAAGCTCTCCGGACTTTTCCGTGTGGCCAATGTAAAACGGCTGGCTTGGATCTTTATCCAACACCAAATACTTGAGGTTCTCTATAATTGCGAACGTGGTGGGCCGGGCCACGAAGAACCAGCGCAGGTCTCCAGCATTCTCGTAGGCGTGTTTGATGGCTTTGCGTAGCCTAGCCCACTCATCCTGCTCCTGTAGGTCAACCGCCTCTAGCGCTTTGGACGATTCAGACGTGTAGAAGACAGATTTGTCGCAGTGTTTGCTCCAAGTGTCGTTGGCTGTCGCCCAGTGGACCAGGAGCTTGGGAGTGACCATGATGAGACAGTACACTCGAACCTGCAGGGTCCAGTCAGACATCTGAGACTCTGATAGCTTCTGTAGTTCATCTTTGCTGACAGGTTTCAGATGATGGTGGAGATGCTCATGACCTTCTGAGTGGGTTCCTGAATTAAAGGTCTCAAAGAAAGACATCACCAGGCAGAATATGCCCCCTAGGATCATGCCTTTCATAAATGAACTGCCCTCAGACATCATGCTCGGCCGTAAATCTGTAATAGATCAAAATAAGAATAAAGATTATGATTAGAACAAAACTATAATGGCAGTTCGTGCTCTGAATGACATTTGTTCAGCAACAACAACAAAAAAATCCTTTAGAGAATATCATGAGATACAACGTACGTTGCGATAAATCTACACTTTTGTTTCTGGTGACAATACAAAGCTATTTTACAAAGCAGCTATTCAGGTTTGCTGTATACTACTTAACTTACTCAGAAAAAGAAAAGTTAACTTTGAGATAAATCGGCTAGGTTACATTTGACTGCAAGAAGCCATTAAACATTTGACCAAAACTACACATTCCAATAATCAGTTAATTAGATTCTGATACCTTGCAATAACGCAGAATAGTGCTCACATTTAGACGCTACACCGTCGCATTCAGTTCCGTACACACAACCGGAAAAAAAAAAAAAAAAAGTAGTATCTGTTCTGGAGTCAGTTTTACCTGCCCTCCATCTAATTCATTTGGACGGTATACGGTAATAAGAAAGCTGGTTGAAGTCCAGCGCTAGTTCTGGCTTCTAGAACACGGATGTTTAAGCGGATGTCGAATCTGCGCGAAAGGCACTGTGGGAAATGTTGTTCGTTTGTGTTGTCTCGCTGTGACGAACACGATTATAAAAACTACAAAAACGTCGATTTCCTCTGAATAAGCAAAAGCGGAAATGATTTTTGTGCTTTAAAAGTTTTACAGGGATACAGCTAAAACCGGAAGCTAACAATACATTTACTTTTCTGTTTATTAGATTGTGTTTTATTAACGTCTACATCTGCCCCAACCCTAAACCTAGCCCTTACAATAATGCAAAAATAGTAATTATTGTTGTACAGTGTGACAAAAATTATGCTGTATTGATGTACACATGCCCAGTAACGCCATATGTATCCCTTCTAGCCTTAAAGGGACAATATGTAAGATTTTTTAATTCAAATATCCAAAAACCACTAGAACAGTGTTATATATTTTGCTGAGTTGTAGCCTTAAAGGGACAATATGTACGATTTTTTAATTCAAATATCCAAAAACCACTAGAACAGTGTTATATATTTTGCTGACTTGTGTACTTACATTATCCCAAATGTTTCGAAGAATGTTGAAATCCAGAGAAATAAGCAATTTTAACTAGTGACACGGACCGTGTCCATAGTGCCATTGTGTCGCCTGCAAATGACGTCATAACCCCTCGATTTCGATATTTTTTTGTAGAAAACATGGAAACACCAAAGATGCTTTAATATGTTGTGCGTTTTAATAGACCGGTGACGACCGCACAGAGTAGCATTATAACAGAACTTGTTATAATGCTATATATAATCAAACGTATCTAGTATGATAAAACAGCGCTGCTTTTTTCCCCCCACATACACACGACCGGAAGGAGCGGAAGCGGTCGACTGTGGCATAATAAAAGCTCCGCTGCTTTCGAGCCGTGTGTCACACTCGTTCAGCGGCCTCGTTTCGCTCGACGGCTTTCAGCCTCACCCTGCTTCATACTACTACGTTAATAAATCATCCATGAACATGATTTCTGCCCGAGTCCCGTCGAATTGCATCGGCTGTGGGGATGAAGACGACAACTCCCATGATTCCACACTCAGACACGGCGTCATCAAACTACGCCTTTGTCTATTTGTTTATTTTGAATACGCGCCCTCCAGCGGCAAAAATTACATATTGTGCCTTTAACCGTTTTACAGATTGTATGACAACTTAGTGACTGTTCAGGCCCCCCTGGCGACTTTTTTTTCCTCCAAAAAAGCAACTAGCGACAAATCTAGCGACTTCTAGGACTCACTGGTACTGCCGCACGAGCGTGAGATCTTGCTAGCGGCAGAGAGGAGCAGCACTTTCAGTTAAAATAGATACGATGTTGCTTCTCTAATTTTACATGCAAATATAGCCGAAAACACGGCACAGGAATTGTCTTTGTCTTTGCTTATGTTATGCGTATTTGATTTCATCAGACGACGGCTCGATTATAAATCAGGGTTTTTGTGCAGACTAACATCTGGGAAGTTAGAGCTGGTTATGTAGTTTTAAAGGGCCACATTTCAGTCACTATTTCATATTTATCCCGTTGACTGAATGGAACAAAAATAGAAACAGTAAATTATATAAATGAAAACAGTATTACTGAGAATTTGGCTTAATTAAAATACAGTATGTGAGCACAGAGAGGCAAACAACTGTAAAAGGCAATGCGACGCGATGACGTCATGAATATGCTAATTAGCGTATGACGTCATCTAGCTACATTTAGCGACTTTTCAAACTGGCTTTAGCTACTTTCCAACACTGCTTTCCTGTTTTCAAGTAAATCACTGACTAAGGAATACATTAATTTATTAATTCAAAAAGAAAAACACTTGTAGTTAAATGTAAGAATAAAATAATACATTAATAAAAGACTTTTCAAATTGAAAAATAAATTGACAAATAAAATGTAATTTATGTTAAATATTATTTAAATATATAACAATAAAACTGTCACTGCAGGGCCACTGTCGTGCAGAGTTTAGCTCCAATCCCAATTAAAAACCTGAACCAACTAATCAAGGTCTTATGAGGTATACTAGAAACTTCCAGGAAGGTGTGTTGGAGCTACACTCTGCAGGACAGTGGCCCTCCAGGACAGAGATTGGACACCCCTGGACTAGGTCTGTCGAGCCCCTGGAGAATGAAGCCATGAGAACACAAACATACTTTATTAATATAAACATTTATTTCTTCATTAATCATATTTAGCTCATTTTAAAGGCGCATCAATGTAGAAAGATGCTTTTTGGAATCAGATGGTGCAGTTACAGAATCTACCAGCAGAGGCCAGGCCGAGGGGTTAAGAAGATTTGATGATTGGTTAGCATGACTCCTGCATTAGCCCCTAATAGCAGATGCCATTAATATCTACACCATCTGATTCAAAATAAACATATGTCTCCGCTGACAGTCTTTGAAAATGAGCCATGTGTTCTGACAAAATATTTTTCCTTGCCTTCTTTGTTCAAGCTTGTGTAATCTGTGAAGGAAGCACAAGTCTACCACTTGCTTGTTAATATCGGCCTGTTCTTGTATTTTCCTTGTATTGTTACCAAACCTGTCACCTCTTCTTGCTTTGTATAAAGACTTCATGCTAATTAATAGCTTTCTTAAATAATCTTTGCTATAGCTCATACAGTATTTCCTGCCCACTGTCTCTAATGAACTCCTACTCATAAACTGGTTGAACTCCATCTCTCACGAGCTAAGCTTTAATGCTGAATATGCGCTTACAGCATTTTACATATTTACAAGATTACACATGCAATACAAAGGCTTTCTTTTTTTTGTGCAAAATCAAAAGAGATAAAATACTCATGCAGCTGTCAATGGTGCATATACAACCAAATAAAGCATCTTTTGTTTCTCAATTTCCTGAATATCTTTAATTTATTCAAAATAGGTTTTATTTTTTTCTTTGAAGGAAGAGAGAAAAATGTAAGGCTGTTTCATAGGAAACCATTTAGAAGCACACTTTAAAAAAAATTTTTTTTAGCACAATTTTACACACAGTAAACAAAACACATACATACATTAGATAAAGTAACAAAAACATATATAACAACAATACACAATGTAAAAATCAAATAGCTATGCCTGGAATAGGCCTAAAATCGAATAGATTTGAATGAAGTATCCGTGCTGAAAATATCACGCTCGCCATAAAGGCTCAAAAGTAACAATATTTCATTTTGAATGATTGCCTTAATGATGAGTTGGATATTATTATTAGAAGACAAAATTCCTTTGTTCCCTGTACGGCGAGACACTGGCCCTTTAAGAAGAGACATTTCAATCTAGGCGTGTTTCCTGCTCCCGAAGAGAATCATTTAAACCGAGAAAACACTTACTGAAATATTCGTTTGTGTGACAAAACATTTATGCTAAATTTCACAAATAAAATCTCTTTGAAATGTGTTTACAATTTGATCGTACGGCAGTTTTAGCACGCATACAAACCACTGTTTTAATAAGTAAGGTTTTATTAACACGTGCCAAAATATGTAAATTAATTGTTTTGTGGAAATGAAAACTAAATGTAGATTCTAAATTGATAATCAAAAAACTGAACTGGGCAACGGTAAACAACCTTATTAACAAAACGTAAAAATATATAAACATAATAAACAGAAGTGACAAAGTACAAAAATATGTAATTGGTTAGTTTTACCATCTGTATAAGACAATAGGGTTTTATTAAGGAGAGCTATTTAAACTATAGAGCTTTGAACCTGTAGATCACCCAACATGAACCTAAAACAATTTAGTACCCTACTAAATCAATCTATCTATCTATCTATCTATCTATATATACTAATGAAAAAATGATACAATTATATTAAAATTAATTGCAGATTTTCGAACTGTGTGAGATCATTTGCCTGTTGGTGGATTGTAAAGAGCTGTGTCATCTTTGTTATTGTAACACGTTTTCACAATAGCAGATTGCTGTCCATGTTGATAAAGCTGGATGTGCTGCATATTGGATATGAGCTCCCTTGTGTGGACTTTTGACGTCTGTGGTTGGTGTTTCCTGAGACTTGAGTGTTGTGCCCTGCCCATATCAAGGATCTACCATTAGGCCTGTTCATCAGTGAAAGGAAACGATTCTGTCCCTAGTCAGAAACTCTCAGTCATGTATGGAGATGCTGGCTCCTGTAGGGTTTCACTGCACGCCATGTTCATATCGCTGTTACTGATAATTAGTCCTCTTGAGGCAGACATATTAGCATAGAGACTGGGCTAAGTGCAAAAGTGTGATTCCAAATTGTTTATTACACGACAAGCTAATAGATGGATTGGGATTTATTTATTTATTTATTTGCATTTACAGTTTCAATTTGTGCTTAGATTTTTACCTACACAAACATTGTTTGTATCCAATCATCTTTATAGACTGAATTTGCAATTGGGTTCGAAACCATTTGAAGTGTGTAGGAATATTTTGTTTATTATATATATGTATGTATGTATGTATGTATGTGTGTTTTTGTCAAACAGTTTCTTCCTAAGATTGTTTTTGGCTCTTGATAAAATTCTGGCTTTGTGACTATCACAATTATTAAATATCACCCAAGGTTATTCATATATAGTCCCTGCTGGATCTTTAGTTTCACTAAAGTTGCACTTTATCTTTTATTTAATGCATAGCATGAGATTCCAGAATATACAGACAGTGTTTATGGAAACACATTGCTTCCAGCTATTTTGAATTTACAGGGAATTATTTTTTTGAGTATTGCAGAATTCTCACACTATTGTGTCCTCCTGCACCTCTCTGTCCATGGGGCCTGTGTCTGGACAGTTTATTCCTCTGCAGGCACAAGACTGATCAGCAGGGCTGGACTTTGCACGGTTCTTTCTAAAGATTTTTTGTCTTTGAAGAGAATGTATCCCACCTCCCTTTCCATTCTCCTAATGTGTTTTTGTTTGCTGAAAATCTCTGCACTTATATTTTAATTTCTGGCTGTTAGTGTGCACAAGATTATGCAAGTTGCATTGCATTCATGTTTTTACTGTCTTTGGATATCAGATTTAGAATTGTGAGTTGGTTGTGTAGGCTAGAAATTTTGTGAAAAATCTGCAGTGTGTGTGTGTGTGTGTGTGTCAAAGTAGACCGTAAAAAATAGTGCTGATCCTGCACTCACTATAGCCAAGGGTTTGGTCGATCCACCATTGGCTGGAAGGAAGAACCACTTGCTATTAGCCAGATGTCTTCAATTTAAAGGGGTCATATGATACTGCTAAAAAAACATTATTTGGTGTAATGAAATGCGTTTATGCGGTTTAAGGTTAAAAAAACACATTATTTTCCACATACTGTACATTATTGTTTCTCCTCTATGCCCCGCCTTTCTGAAACGCGTCGATTTTTACAAAGCTCATCGGTCTGAAAAAGCGAGGTGTGCTCTGATTGGCCAGCTATCCAGTGCGTTGTGATTGGCCGAATTCCTCAAGCGCGTGACGGAAATGATACGTCCCTTACCATATTGTGATGCCTGCAGCAACCACATGTGACGACTCCGGGCTGGACTCCGCTTCGTCCACGGTGAAAGCCGATCCGGCGATCCACAGAGCAAAGTTGAAGTATTTCCTCAGCGACCAGCATGGATCAGCTCCAGGCATGACGAAGCAATATCGTCCTCTTTTGGAAGGCCAAACAAAGTAGTTTCGCTTTCACAACGAAGCACACAGCGCCTTCACGACACAGCACCTTTCTTTGCATGAACATCTGGGCGGCGTTATGCAAATCTTCCCAGATAGTGACGTAGGTATGTGGGGACGTGTTAGAATGAGCTGTTTTAGGTAGGTGTGGCTGACTCTGAACTTTTATAAAGAATATCTCTTTGGATTTGAGACTTTAGTCTTTGCAACTTTACAGATCTTCTTTATGCACCAAGAGCTTGTAACACTCCAAAGAGAAAGTAAAAATTTTAATCGCATCATATGACCCCTTTAAAGGATTGAAAAATTCTAGGAAATTCTAGAATATAATATTATAATTGGATTAGCTTTTATTGTTTATTTTTAGTATGTAATCTTATTTTGTTTCTATTTGTTGCCAACATCCCTAATTTTTGTAGATAAAAAAAAAAAAATCTTTAACAATAAGGACACTGAAATATCTCATATCCCACCATAATATGCAGAAAAACTACACCTAAGCCATTTGTAGACTGAATTCCTGAAGAGTGTAATACTGTGACACTATCAAAACAGCATTGTCGACTAATGCCAGACAAAGTGTTCTGGAAACCTGTTTGAAAACACAGTTTTTGCAGTTCTGTTTGGTATGTTAGTGATGCAGACCTACACCCTTCACCTTTATAATACTTCATCTTCTTACTAAAATGGTTCTACACCAGTGAAACGGTTACATAGCTGCACTTTATGTGTTGACAGTCATCAGATTCTTTTGGTTGTATACACCCAACTCATTCTTTCAATTTAGAAGTACATGGATCAGGTTTCACTCTGTCTTTGTCCTGTATGTTTGTTTTATGGAATTGTTGCTCATCAGTTAAATGTCTATACATTTTATGTTGATCATTAAGTGGATAGTTACTCATGTTGTTGCTAAGGAAGTGTCTAGTGTATGACTTAGTCAGTGTCACGATCTGTGTGAGAGGTCTCCCGTCTGTTTCTGTGCATCTGCAGGGGTCGTGATAAAAGAGAGTTTATAACTGCTTATTTTTTTGGATTTTTTTTTTTGTGTGACTGGAGCTGTGGCAAATTTGTCTCCATGAGGGATTAGGATACTGCTTTTTTTTTGGCAGTAATACATAATTAATTTGCTTCGTGATTCGCTTGCTCTTAAATTGGCAAACTCTTTATGAAGAATTAACAGAGGTTGTGCAAGTAATTTTCAGGCATGGCAACTTCCTGGCGTTACAACTTCTATCAGTGTGGCACAGCTGAAAGATCCTTTTGTACGTTATCAGTACATATTTGTACTTTATACTTTACATGACCTAAACCTGTTTGTACTTTAAGCTTTTATGAGAGTCCTTTTATCAGAAAGAATGGCTGCTGATGTCACACCCGGATGCAAGATTGCAGTTTATTTGTTCGCTTACTAATCTTTCCCCACTTTGTTAGTGCTATTGCATACGAATTTAATATCATCATCAATTTTGCAATGCAAAATTCAAATAAATGAGGTGATTATTTGCATGTTGAATGGTTTTCTTTGGAATTGCCGGACCATTTATTCCTTAACACCTTGACCTACTTTTTGGTTTTGATACATATATCAACATGTGTGTTTCCATACTTAGAAGTATAATAAGTAGAAAATCTTTCTCTCAGTATTTGGTGTATCTGTTATGGAAGCTTGTTTCTGCATCAGAATCAAAATTAAAATAGGCAAGTAAGATCCTTAAGTCTTCGGTGTCACATGACCCTTCAGAAATCTTCAGAATATGCTGATTTAGTGCTCCACAAACATTTCTTATTATTATCAATGTTGAAAACATTTTTTTTCTGCTTAATGTTTATGGAAACAGATTCATTTTTTTTCAGGATTCTTTGAATAGTAAGTTCAAAAGAACAGCTGTTTTAAATAGAAATCTTTTGTATCGTTATAAATATTAATGTTGTTTTATCAATTTAATGCATCCTTGCTAAATACAATTCTTAATTTCTTAATTTTTTTTTACTGATTACAAACGTTTGAATGGTATGAACGTGAGAGCTTATTGCACTTCAACACTGTATTCAGCATCAGTGACCATGTAATATTATATAAAATTGTCTTCAGATTTGTTTCAGACTGAACCAGGTTGTCACAATGAATCTATATGTTGTTTTTAAGCCGTGGTTTTTCTCCCGTCATTGTCTTTTCCGGTGGCGTACCGGATGTTTGCGCCGAGCACTATCAGTAACGATAATTGTCAGGCCTCCCTGCCCCCCCACCAGTCTCCACCTAGAGACCAGCCAGACCAATGAAGCAGCTCTATTGATTTTACGAACACACAGCTAAGCCTTTTCATAGCCAGCTATAAAACTCTGCTGTTGTGCTTCATGTTGTCTTAACTGTGGAAAACAGTCCTTTTCACCTTGTTCTCTGTGGAGCAGAGTGCAGATAATTCACTAAGGACAACCTGTGAAGGCAAACACATGGGTGGAGATGCTACAACACCGTGACGGGAGTGGCTTTGTATGCATGTGCGTAATTTGAACTAATTATTTAATTATTATAATGTCAGAATTCACGAAAAAGTGTCTTTGCAAAGCATTTTATGTCTTCCGCTGATTAGTTGAAGTCAACATGAAATCAGAACTGACCCTGTTGACTGACCCTGTGTTTCTGGTCCTGTTGAGAATGATTCATTTGCTAGGTTAGAGAAAAAAAAAATTATTTGTAAGCTTGAATCAGAATGAAATGGCTTGCACTGTTAATCACTGATAATGTTAACCAAATGGCTGTTTAGACATTGTTTTAGCGAACTCAAACTCTTTTGTGATCCAATTGGTTACCGCCCTACATTTTTTGCAGCTGAATATCCTGTTCCAGGACTATGTCACATTATGGAAGTCAAATGGAAATTGGTGTTGATTTTCAACAATAAAGTGTTGATTATGCATACAGAGACACAATACTTTTTTGTGTTTTCGTGTTGTTCTATGGAGAAAGTAAATTGCTAATTATGGTGGTTCAATAACCTTGTGCATCAGTAGTGGCAATAACAGAGTTTGTACTTTTATATTGGAGCTGCTTATCTCATGTATTGATTATGGTGAGAGAGGTCTCATCCAGCATTGCATGATGGTAATGTCCGGGAAGCTTATGATGGAGCAGGTCCAGAAGTCATTAGCAGATACATCACACACACACACATATACATACATACATACACACACACACACACACACACACACACACACACAAACAAACAAGTGGTTCTCCTCAGTTTTCCTCCGCTTTGCCCCAGCACAGCTTTCATGATAATAAATGGATTTCCCTGCAGCATTCTACTCACGATCTGGGCAGTGGAAAGTTTTATCGACCGGCTCTGCTCTGGATTTTTCCCCCTCCTCTTTATGTCTTCCAGTCTCATAGCTTAAAATGGATCAAACTAATCTGACCTGTTCCACAGGTAGATTTCCAGTGAATTGATGCCCTTGGTATGCTGACACACCAGTGTGTCAAACAGCTAAACTTGCACCATGTAGTATGACTAGAAATGATCTTTCTGTTGCTAATACTTCTTGATACTTCCAGAGCTGCAATCTGTTGTTCTGTGTGCTGGACCTGAAGCAGTGAATGTGACGTGTGAGGAGACATACCCACATTCTAGTATGGACTGGTTCAACCAGTGTTCTAGTATGTATTGTAGAAGGATTGGTTTGACACGTTATAGTTTGTGTAAAACATGCATTCTGTGTGTTATTAGAAGCACCTGTTAAGTCTTAATTCCCCAAAAGTAGGCCTAATCAAGTTCAGTTTGTAAATCTGTTTGTATTAACGATGCATCAAAATACAAGGTGTGTTGAGGATAAATAAAAAATAAGTCTCTTAGACTTGTGGCAAATAGAAAATATTATAAATGTGTAAGACATTATCTGGAGAACATACACTGATTTTTGTTTCTACTGTTGGAGTATTTGTATATCTATATAAACATGCAGGATCCTATAACGGACCCCTGGGGTCCCTAGAAGTGTTGTTATTGTTAAATAAAACAGTGAAAATTTGCTTTTGGTAACTGAAATAAACCTGATTTTTTTTTAAAAATAATTATAGTATAATATAATAACATAATTAGAAAATTACAAAATGTTGCCTTGGCAACTAACTGTACTAAAATTATTAGTACTACAATTTATAACTAAAATTACAAAAAATGAAATAAAAATAAATTAAAGCTGTAAATAAATAATTTTAACAAAAAAATGAAATAAAAATAAAAATGATAAGTCACTAACAAAAAACAAACTAAAATTAAAATGAAAACTGAAAATATACAAATGATACCTATTTTAAAAACATTAATAGTACATAAATAATACTGGTCCCCCAACTCCATGTAAATAACCACCCACAATACCATAGTGGCAATTTTTGTATGAGCAAGTATCACTTACATTTTTATTACAAAATCTAGTTCTATATCTTTTTGTATTGTGTTATTAGGACTTGTCATGTCTTCTCTCTCTCTCACTGTATTGTAGTTAGTGTTGTAAAGATGTCCTTTGCACATTTAGAATGCTAAATGTAGCAAATTTCCCCCCGAGAGTGGATGCACTGTGCCTGCGATGAGCTGAACCATTATCGTGATGTATTAGCCATACATTATCTTAGCATAGCAGGTCTACATTGCAGGAGAGAGTGGTGGAGGAGAGCCAGGGTGACCCTATTAATAGCTCAATGCAGTGGCCTGTGGAGCCGACCAATCTGCTGTAGGCTGAGAGAAGGGAGGCACTTTTACAGGACCCAAGGCATCCGCAATTTATGGGAGCAACCAAATTCATTGCTGTATGGCTGTCTGCCTGCAGGAATGGAGAAAGCACAGTCGTTCATAGTAAACATCCTCCCTGACTGCTTCATTGTTGGGTCTGAAAAGACTGAGCCAGACAGATATTACAAACGTACTCCATCAATGACCTCCCCTCTTTTATTTCAGGGAGAAACTATTGCTTCGTCAAAAAGATAACAAAAATGTTTTTGTGTTGGATTTAGGAAAATGATAGTCAAAAGCATTGGCGTGCCGATTGAAATATTTGTATTTGATGTGAAATTTTTTATGTATCAATTGCCATTTTGCTTCAGCGAAATTAATGTCAATTTTTTGGAAGAAAAAAAACTATTTAGGTTCAGCAGCATTTATTTTAAATTAAGAATTATTTTACTTTACTTTTACTTTACTTTCTCCAAACCATTTCTCTTAATGCAGGGTTCTAGTTCAAAACATTTGCTATCCAGCAGAAATGTTTATTTGTTTTAATGCAAATTCTTTATCTATCCATTGCCATTTATTTTAGTTGAGCTTTTTTTCCACAATTAAAAAAATAAATATATTTATTATGTTTTTTGTTTGCATTTTTATTTTTGTCTTTACCACTTATATTATATTATGTCATAGCTGTCGGGTTTCTTATTTGTATTTATTTTATTAATTTTTTTGCCATTAACAGCATAAAAATTCCACACTTCACCTTTAAAACTAGATAGAAATATTAGAGAGATTTCACTTTCATGTTATGTACTCATGTAACCTCTGTGCTGTTAATGTCATGTTTTGCCTGCCTCATTTGTAATCCTGCTTGTTCACTTGTCCCATACAGGTGCCCGTACCTGGCAGTGCACCTGTCTCCTGCCATCCCTGTGTTTGCAGTGTTGCTCTTCGTCTTTGTCATGGCCATGCTGCTCCGAACCAGCTTCAGTGACCCAGGGGTGCTGCCACGGGCCCTGCCGGAGGAGGCCAACTTCATTGAGATGGAGATCGGTGAGTGTGAGGGTGACTGAGTTCAGGAAAAGGGATTTGAAGTTTAATGCCATAGTTTGTACCATCAGTGCCACTTGCGGGTGTTTTGACCCAGTGAGGGGAAGAACATAAGTAGTCTAGTAAGCGTGTGGCGTAAGTGGGACGCTGTTAGCCCAGACCTGCTGATTAATTTATTGTTTTGTTTTGCGAATAAAATGGCTGAGTGCGTTGGTCCATGAACTCTGAGGTTATCTGGGAAACATTGTGTTCTTCTTTACTTCAAGCTTGATGGGCTTAATGGTTATCTCGAGACTTTTTTTTGGAAAATCACAGATATTGAAGAACAGATGTATTTTGTCTTCTGATGCATCTGCATGTTTAGATATACATTTAAGGAAAAACTCTTCCAAAAATCTCTCTCCCTTTACATAATTTAATAAATAAACAAAAACACTTCCCAAAAAATATCCTACGCCTATGTTGAATATGCACAAGTGAGATTTCGGAGGACATGAGCTGCTCCAGGAGAGTTTGAATCTGATCCATGCATGTCCCAATCCCATTCCTGCCTCTCTGCCTCTGTGCTTTTCTGCTTTACTTCACTTTATTATCCATTAGAGGCACAAGGAAGTAAAATGAGAAATAGATATTCTTCACATGACTGGTACACACCCACACAATGCCATATGTCAACTGACTTGAACAGAAACCAGTGTTATGACTATTCAAAGTGAAAATTGTATCTTTTGCAGGGGTGTTTGGCAGAAACTGTTGAGGCTCATTCAAATCCTAAGTTTCATTTGTCTTGTCTCTTTTTTTTTTCTCTCTTTTTTTTTTTTCTTTGACAAAGTATCTGCTCAAACATTGACTGTTAAAGGGGTCCTATTATGCTCTTTTACAAAGTCTTGTTTTTGTTTTGGGGGTGTACTAGAACAGGCTCTTATACTAGCTTGTTCGAAAACACATCATTTTTCACATATTTTACATTATTACAACACCTCTCTCCCCAGTCTGGCATGAACGGCTCGAATAGTTCCTGTATCAAATGAAGGCCCGCCTTCTGAAATACGAAATGTGCAGTGATTGGTTAGCTGGGCCAGTGTGTGCTGTGATTGGCTCCACTCGGTGCCTAGTCGGGAAATGTCATGCCCCTTACCATAGCCGCCTGCGAGCTTCAGTGTAAATATTGCGTCAAAATCAAATCAATTTGAGCACGATTTAAACCCGGATGATTGTAACCACTCTAAGTTTGTCTGCCTTGGGAAAGCTAGCGTGTATCCGACATAGTGATAACACTCGTTGCCTTCTCTAGTGCAGCTCAACCAGGTCTTGTCCCATTCGTCGATATTTGTGATATCACAAAACCCAGAAAATATGCGTTGTAGTCCAAACGAGTCGTTTGTTGTAGTTTTTGAAAAGTGTTTTCTGTTAAATAAAATATCTCCTTTTGAAGTGGACTTTGAGCTTTGTAACTTTGCAGTTCTTTTTTTATGCTCAAACAGCAACATTACAGACGAACTAAAGTTGAAAAAGTTAAAATGCATAATAGGACCCCTTTAAATAGTAAAAGAAATTGCCTTAGTAGATTTCCTTAGACCTTTGTCTATCCTGATCTAGAGTGAGTGAATTGAACCGAAATGCCCTACGCATCGGCTTCCTTTGCAAAAAGAAAAAAATACACATTTACCCTGCAGCAAAAATATCTATTTTCAGTGGACTGAAAATACAAAAGAAAAACTGAAAATAGGCCTAAAATAGGGAATTCGTGTGTAGTTTTTTGCACGTTTGTCCTACTTTGAATGTCAGAAAGGTTAACATCACTGCATCTGACTAATTAAATGCAATAAATTAGATGAACTTGCTGCTCTCATCTTGCAAATTTTGCTTCTAGTGATTCATTTGTGTTGTTGTGGCTCTGTGGGAAATATTGCCTTGTCTAGTTCAGTCACCAGCCTGTCACCGTTCCCTGCACTGATTAGAAGATAAAGATGAACTCATCTCCCTACACTCTCCACCCTCACTTCTCTCCGTTCTTCCTCCCTCGTCTCTTCTCCCCTCCCTGGTTTATTTTTTAAATGAGAGCTCCGTTGTTACACATCAGCACCACCGCTGAAGCTCAGACGTGCCTTGGGGCAGTGCAGCATTTGTTCCCTTTCATGGGAACTTCGAACTGCGTCCTCTAGGGGTCGCTATGGGGAACGCCTCGTCGTGACTCGTATCTGAAGCATACATTGAAAAAACACCAACTCGTTGGCCGGCGACAGCCATGACGTCACTACCGGTGCGACTACAGTATAAATCGGTGCCGGGAGCTACACATCGTTCACTTCTTCGTCTGAAGCTTGCGTCCGCAGCATGGCAAGAAACCTAGAGGACGCAGTGTCTCGTTCCCTACTCAGGGAACCATGGTTACATAAGTAACCCGAGACGTTATTACTGATGTTCACTAAACCAGGACATCTTTTCTCTGGGCAATTCCCCTGATAAACCACAGTATTCTCTGATGTCATTAAATATCCACTAACCCCTTTCACTGATTTTGTGGAACATGTTCACATGTAGAATTGTTCTATGGTTCTCTCTAATAGGGTTGTGTTATATGCTGGTACTATGTAACATGGTACAAAAATTTTACAGCAGTATATTATCATCATTAGGCACTGTGATGTGAAACATAAAAATTAATACATTGAAATTAATGTTCAAATTTTGAAACATCTAAAAAACCTGCATACATCTCAACAGCCCCTAAATCAGTGGTTCTTATGCTTTTTGACTCCAAGGTCCCCCAATGTCCACAACAATCAAGGCCCCATGATTTGTTTTTAGCTGTTTGTGATTTACTGGATAAGGACTTAGGATAAAGGTTTAAATACTGTGTGTGTGTGTGTGTGTGTGTGTGTGTGTGTGTGTGTGTGTGTGTGTGTGTGTGTGTGTATATATATATATATATATATATATATATTTTTTTTATTTTAACTCAATTTCTATCCGATAAGTTATTTTAGATCTTTGCATAACTAGGAAAAAGTGTATTCATTTTGTAAAGCACGTGGAGTTATAAGATTGTATTAATCTACGTGACTTTTCCATGTCTGGAAATCGTATATCCTTATAGGCTACCTTATATACCTAGGTTTTTCAAGATTAATTAATAGCGATTCATTTAAATAGTTTTCATATCATGGAATCAATTCAATTTGATTAACAGCCCTATTTTTAAGAAATTTGTCAGAACTTTTTCATTCTGTAACCTACAGTAACTCAGTCATTTAATTTAATGGAAATTTGTATCAAATTTCAGCAAGTATGAACTATATTTTTGTTCAATGACAAGACCATCAGGTGACAGAGACAAAGCATTTTTGTTACTTATGTAAGTGTGTAGAACTTTATATAGTTTAATTACTGCAGGTAAATACAAAGGAGCTAAATGCATTATCAGGTTAACAACAACAACAAAAAGATTACTCCCAAATGATTGACATTGAATTATTGAATGTATTGACAGCCCTGGTGTCATTTAAATTCATCAGTTACTCAGGGTTGTTTTTTGTTTTAAGACTGCTGTCATACAAAAGCCAAAATTTTGGTATTGATTCAACTGTACCCTCTTAAAATAGGGCAGTTTTGTTTGACTACTGCAAACAACAGGGCAAAGATTGATTTATACAAATTCCCTCTGCTCTATTTCAGCATTCCATCTTTAAAATTCTATTTTTAGATGAATGTCTGTGTGGCTGATTAAAAGTGGCTGATTCTGGATCAGATGCAAGTTTGGATTTGCCATTTTAGCCAATCCAGGCATGTGGATTAAAAGGCAGCTGTGTAGTTCTGCCTCCTGAGCGCATGCTAATGCAACCATTACACTAGAGTATAAAAGTACAGAGCTGACAAATGCAAGGAAATTACCTTTTGAAATTTGTCTTGTCTTTATAAGAAGAGCTTTGCCTTCAGTATTGTCACTATCCAGGAAAAAAGTGAGTCATATTGAAAAAATGCAAATAAAGAAAAGGGAATAGAAAAGATGCTTATAATTTTTTCTGGATCTCTGGAGAGACAAAAAAATAATAGAAAAAAAGCAATAATAGAAAATAATTTTCCTTAGAAAGCAATTTATCATTTACAATTGTGAACATTTTTAGTGAAAATACATGCATGTCAAACATACATGTGGTCAAATATTTTTGTAAAATGATCACTACACTGTTTATTTAACCATTGTCACCGGCAGTTACCATTACTGTGCTAGTTCCATTGTCTCACAAAATCAAATCACGATAATATTTAATGTTTATTTATTTACTGATTTATTAAGGGGGATGTACAGTCAGCATGTCATTATTGCTAAATAAACCCCTTTAGTGTGAGACAGGATCTCTCAGCTTCATGTCATGGTCTTAATCGCGTCAAAGTTTATTTTGTGATAATGATTGGCTTATCCCTTTCATATTTCTTTTGAAATCATGTTTTAATCTCATTCCGCTTCAACTAGTGCAAAAATCATTATACTTGTCATACCAGCACCATTAATAACTATTTTGTACTTGAGGTTTTGACCTTTTTTCACAGAGCAACGCACACTCTCCTGGGTCTGATTTATTGGTGTTTTTTCATGTCTTTTGTCATTGAGTCATGGCACTCGCTGGAGTGGCCTTCAGTGAGTCCTTTATCAGAGGCTGTGTTATGTGTCATGCATATGGATCTTAATCGACCCAAGCGGCTGCCGGGTTGCCATGTTGACTGTGTCTCTACTCATCTCTTGCAGAGGCGGCCAATGGGAACGTCTTGGCTGGACAGCGGCCTCCGCCCCGCATCAAGAACGTGCAAATTAACAACCAGATCGTCAAGCTGAAGTACTGCTACACCTGCAAGATCTTCAGACCCCCTCGTGCTTCCCATTGCAGCATCTGCGACAACTGCGTGGGTGAGTGATTGTCCCTAACATTTTGCACTACAAACATGATTGCTACCTCAAATTGTGTGGCTTGTTGAGGGAGGTGTGCTGTTAATTTTTTTTATTAAGTTTTATTCAGCAAGGATGCATTAAATTGATCTATAATGACATTAAAAACATTACAAAATATTTATTTTTCAAATAAATTCTGTTCTTTGAAACCGCAGTTTCCACAAAAATATTAAGCAACACAGCTGTTTTAAACATTGATAATAATAATAAGAAATGTTTTTTGAGAATCAAATCATCATATTAGAATGATTTCTGAAGGATCATGTGACACTGATGACTGGAGCTTTGCATCACAGGAATAAATTACATTTTAAAATATATTAAAATAGAAAACAATTATAAATTTATTGCAATATTACTGTTTTTACTATTTTAGTTTTGATCAAATAAATATATTATAATATCAAATAAATATTAAATCCATATTTATGATGAGACTTATTTTAAACACATTAATACATATTACTTATTATATACTATATATAAACTATATTTACTATATATAATCACTACTTAACTCAACATTAATTAATACTATTATTATTATAGATACTACTAATATAATGTATCATGAATTAAAAATAAATTAAACATTTTTATTAAGTATTAGTAAGTCAACAAATGAATTGAACCTTACAAGGCCAAAGTAACTTACAATGCAACAAGCTATTTTGTGGAACTGTTTGTTTTTTTCGTTTTCACTAGATTTATAATTTGTTTTGTATCACTAAAAATAATGTGCTGCAGTTATTGTGGTTTGTGGGGTTTTACAGAGTTGTACTAGGTCTACATACAAGAATTGACAAGCATTCTTACCTTTGATATAGTTGCACATTTACGTGCCATTTGATACTCCAGTATAATAGTGAACTGTTAAAAGATGAGTCAGACAGCACAGCACACACACTTACTCACACATATTGCAAGGTTAGTGAGATACATATGCTGATATTAGAGAGTTCACCTGCTCTCTTTGCACAGTCATCCTGAACACAGGGCCATTTGTTTGAGTGGCCTGCACCTGCTACACACACACACACACACACACACTCACACTCACTCACTCACAATTTCTAGTTTGAGTACCATCTCCCTCTTAGCAGTTTAAAATATATATGCCTGTCTCTGGCAGAAGATCCACACCCACAGAGTGAGAATGTTGAAACTGACTTTCACAAATCTTCATGAGAGTCTTAAGATTCTGTGTGTCTTTCCCTCAGACCGGTTTGACCATCATTGTCCCTGGGTCGGAAACTGCGTAGGAAAGAGGAATTACAGATACTTCTACTTGTTCACACTCTCGCTGTCTCTACTTACCATCTACATCTTCGCCTTTGACATCGTCCATGTGGCTCTCCGTGAGTATCGTAGCAAGAAAATGTGTGTGTGAGGGCCTGAGCGTCTTCACTGTTAACATCCAAAATCGAATTGTTTAAGAGGAAATTACATTTTCATGTTATCAATAACAATTTAAAATGCACAGACGGTCCAACGGTTTAATGATCATAGTTTCTGGGAAAAAACAAGTGCCTTAAAGCGACACTCAATATGTATGTGAATACGGTTCTCTCAGGCGTGGTTCAGTCGGGGAGTGTTCAGGATATCGGAAGAGCCCCTATACGTTCTCGTAAATGTCTGCTGATCTTCCTCTTCTCAAAGTGCACTATAGACAGCAAGAAAGAGAGAAGCAGAATTCACATGAATTCCTGGGCAGTTTGCTCTGAGCCTGTGATTTTAATTTAAAAGTAAAACACATTGTGACTGTCATTCATTTTGAGGTAAAATTCCATGATTTTTTATGTTTACATGCACAGATAAATTCAGTCATACCACAGATTCTGAATGTGTGACGCAGATTCTGAATGTAATGTTTCCATAGCAATGATAAGCTTTCAGAGAAAACGCATACTTTCCCCACACCACATCGACACCGGATACATGTGGCACATCGCAACTCAACAAAATTAGATCTCTCTTATTATAACAAAGCTGTCTACACTGCTAGCATATTTAGCATGTTTCTATTTTTGACTTTCCAAAGAGTGAAGCCGATCCCTTTATTTTTCCCCTTCCATTTGAAATTCACTTTTTTTCACAAATGTCATATGTGCGAGTAAATGCGGTTTAAATCAGTTCTGACCTTTACATCATAACCAGCTTGTGCGGTTTGATATCTGGCCTATTAATTTAAATAATATAATCTAATTCTGACCATACGCATCCGCAGTCATTGGTCACCCTAAAATTAGTCCATGCAGCATGTGCACTATTATATAAGTCTTCTTAAGGCATACAATTGCTTTTCTTGATGTACAGATTGACATTTAAGTTTTTATATAGAGCCAAATGTCATCATGTCAAACCTTCACCATAGGTGTCATGTAATTTGAGAGCTTTCATGTAGGTGAAAATCATCGAGTTTTGTTCCGTTTCTCACATAGTTATTGTATGTACTCTGAAGATATATATATATATATATATATATATAGCATATAAGTCACATAGAGATGGACATTCAAGACTCACTCATTCATATTTATTGAAAGGGCAAGAGAAACCAGTTTGTTGAAAATTGAAAGATTCTGTATGATTTTGATCAGTACTGTTGTTGTTACTTGTATGTTTTTGTATAGTGGTTGCTTCTTATCGTTATTGTAAATGATGTAATGAAATGATACTGTTAATGTTGCCATGAATATAGCCATTGTTGCTGATATGGCGGTAAAACACAAATAAATAAGTCACGTAGACTACCCTAAGATCCTTTTTATTGTTTTTCCTTTGCCCTTTTTTGAGGTTGACTGCCTGTGGAAATGATGGTTAGTCGATTTTCAGTTTTGGGTAAACTATTCCTTCAACAGATTTTTATTAGGCTGAATGCAAAACCAAAAGGTGCTTGTAAACGAACAGTGCAAACTTCTCAGCTCTGGCAGAGTGTGGGTGGATGTGCGAAAATCCACTGAACATGTAATGATGGGAGAGAGAACGGGAGATGCTGAGACATCTGATGCTGTGAGTTACTGCTTGCATGCATAGATACATGATGTAAATAAATATATCTTGTGTGTTTTATAGGTTCTGTGGACTCAGGATTTGTGAATACCATTAAAGAAACTCCCGGAACATATCCTTTCATCTGGGCTATAGAACCACTTCCTGAAGATTTGAAAACAAAATGAGCTCCTCATAAACCTGTTATGCTGTAAATGATCTATTACGATAAACACTGTGTTTGTGTACTAGTTTTCTAACATTTAAATAGGCACAAGCATGTATTTTCGTTTATTTTTTTTTGTATTGCTGAACAAAGAAATATCAAAGTTCAAACACATTGTTTACGCTGTATTGTAGATGTTTTTGAGCATGTTGGTTCCTTGACTCCCCATTGCACTGTGTTGGAGGTTCTGGTGTGTTTTTTCACCCTCTGGTCTGTGGTGGGATTGACTGGCTTTCACACCTACTTGATCTCCCTCAACCAGACCACCAATGAGGACGTGAGTCTGTTTCTTACCTGTCTGTTCCAAAGTCTACTGTCGGTTCTTGACTCCTGCTGCTGTCACATGGCTGGAAAGATAAACACATGCCCTAGAGCATTTCAGCACACTAGATCCAGCAGTCACCTTGGCAACAGTGCCATCTCGGCGATAAGCAAGCACAGAGAACATCTCAACAGGAGTTTTATGTACAGTATATGCAGTATTTATAGCACTGTTTATGAACCGGAACACATTGCTGTCCCATTACGCTTTGAAGTATTAGAGGCACAAATCCCATGTTTTATAGTAACTGTTTGGTATGTTAGATAAGCTATTATGTAACATAAGATTAACCTTGCATGAAAAGAAGCTTTAAATGCATCAGATGTTTATACACATTATAAAAATGAAGATTTTGACCTCCAGAGGTTTTGACTGTATCCAACAGATACACATCATTTGACATTGGTATGTAACTCATTGTAGTAAAAATATTTAATAAAACCTAACTTATAAATAGTTTTTTTTTTGTTTAAATATAAACTAAACTCATTTTAATTATAAAAAAAGCACATGACATTTGTGTCCCAATCTTTGCTATTACCACATATTTTAGATTTAAGTTTAAATAATTTAGTCTGAATATAAATCTATCAAACCTGATGCGTACTGTAGACTTTGATTGATTTTATTTGATTGATTTTATTTGAGTTTTTATTTAATTTTTGATGATTTAATGTTTATCTGCTAGAAAATCACAAAAATCAGGATTTAAAAACTACATTTAGTTGCAAAAGTCACCGTAATTTAGTAACCGGTTTTAGCCTATAAAAGAATAATATAAAATTT